GCCCGTGCCACAGATTGCCTCGCAGTTCACCGACCTGGCCATCCAGCAGCGCAAGGACATTGAGAGTGGTCGCCTGCAGGACGACATTGTCTTCTGGAAGAAGATCTACACCACGCTGCCCGACCCTCTGCCTCTTTTCCCCTTCCCTGGCGTCGGTGCTCGTCTCCCACAAACCAAGTACGAGCACGAGGAGGTTGAGATGGTGCTCGACTCGGCGATTGCGCAGAAGATCCGCACCCTCTGCCGCCAAAACCGCTGCACCACGTTCCACTTCTTCCTCGCCACGTTCCGACTCTTCCTCACCCGCTGGCTCGAGATTGACGACCTGTGTATTGGTATCGCCGACGCCAACCGCAAGGACATCAAGACCCTGGCTACCGTAGGTTTCCTGCTGAACTTGATCCCTCTCCGCTTCGGCGGCCTCACAGGCAAGGAGACCTTCTCCGCCCTCCTCAACACCGCCAAGCAGACCTCTTACTCTGCTCTCAACCACTCCGCCCTGCCCTTTGACCTGCTCCTGCAGGAGCTCGAGGTACCTCGCTCCTCCTCCCACAGCCCTATGTTCCAGGCTTTCCTCGACTACCGTCAGCTCTCTCTGAAGACACCTCCCATGCTCGAGTCTCAGACCGAGGGTGAGAGCAACTTCGGTGCCACCGCCTACGACGTCGTTCTGGACGTCACTGACGACGCTGCCTCCGACATCACCATCAAGTGGCAGACGCAGAAGTCGCTGTACAATGGCCGCCACACCCAGGCCATGATGGACAGCTACATGCATCTGCTGCACCACTGTGCCAATGGTCCCGCCGGCCCCATCGCCTCCGCTCCCCTCTACCGGGACGAGCATGTCACGGCTGCCATTGAGGCTGGACGTGGTAAGTATCAGATGAAACAACCCCTATTCCTACTACTACTGCTACCGAGCCCCGATTAACTGTTTTGTCTATCTCTCTGTGTAGGTCCCCAGTTTGACAGCGAGTGGCCCGAGACCCTGTCCCTCAAGGTCGACCAAGTCTCAGCCCACTTCCCCAACGACATTGCCCTGCGCGACGGCCTCGGCGACTCCATGACCTACAAAGCCATGGACCGCATCATCGACCAGATCTCCGAGGAGCTCGTCCAGACTAGCATTCAGCCCGGTGACAAGGTCGGTGTGTTCCAGCAGCCCTCAGCCATGTGGATCTGCTCCTTGCTCGCCATCTGGCGCAGTGGTGCCGTCTACGTACCTCTTGACCCCCGCAACGGCCTGCCCCGTCTGGCAGCCACTTGCAGTGTTGTCGAGCCCAGCTCCGTGCTCTGCGACAGCTCCACTGTCTTCGATGTCACCCGGCTTGCTCTCCCTGCCGGCGCCAGCACCATCAACGTTGACCAGGTCCGCAAGGCCAACGACTCTCCAGCTCGCCGTCCCAATTTGTCCAAGGGCGGTTCGTCTGCCATCATCGTCTCCAGCAGTGGCTCCACCGGTGTCCCCAAGGGTATCGAGGTCCGCCACCAGAGCTTGCTTAACCTCTTCGAGGGTGACAGCCAGATCTGGAACCTCGGCCGCCCCAACTGCGTTCAGCAGAGTGCCTACAGTTTCGACATCTCTCTTGACCAGATCTTTACCTCTCTCGTGAACGGTGGCAACCTCTACGTCGCTTCCCAGGCCCAGCGATCCGACCCCCAAGCCATGGCTGAGCTCATCGCAAACAACCAGATCACCTACACCATGGCTACCCCGTCGGAGTATTCCAACTGGATCAACTATGCCGCTCCCACCCTGTCGAAGGCCACGAGCTGGCGCCGCGCCAACGTTGGTGGCGAGGGCTGGAACGCTACCTTGCGTGACTCCTTTGCCACGCTCAACCTGCCCAACCTCAAGATCCAGAACTGCTACGGTCCCGCCGAGAACAGCGTCTGGTGCACTCGTCAGCCCATTGACTATCCTTCCGAGTCTACTCTGATCCCGGCCGGACCTGCTCTTCCCAACTACTCTTTCTACATCGTGGACAAGCAGCTTGATGTTGTCCCCACCGGCGTCCAGGGCGAGATCCTCATTGGCGGTGCCGGTACCGCTGTTGGCTACTACAAGCGCACCGACCTAACCAACGAGAAGTTCATCGAGGACAAGAATGCCTCCTCTGTCCACGTTGCCAAGGGCTGGAACCGCGCCTACCGCACCGGTGACAAGGGTTATCTCATGGACGACGGCACCCTCGTTGTCCTTGGCCGCATCACTGGTGACACCCAGATCAAGCTTCGCGGTTTCCGTATCGAGCTCGAGGACATCGAAGCCACCATTGTCCGCGCCTCCAATGGCGTCCTGTCTCGCGTCGTTGCCAATGTGCGCGGCGAGGGTCACGAGAGCTACCTGGTCGGCTTCGTCGAGTTTGCTGACGGCTACCCGACCGACCAGCAGAAGACTTACCTCGCTCAGCTACTCAACAAGGTGCCCCTGCCCCAGTACATGAAGCCCAACATGCTCATCCCGCTTGACCGCATTCCCCTGAACTCCCACGGAAAGGTCAACAGACTGGCTATTGCCACTATTCCTATCCACCCCCAGGTTGATGCTGCCGAGATCTCTACTGAGGTCACCGACACTGAGAAGGCGATCTGGGAGCTGTGGCAGGAGATCCTGCCCCAGTCCGTTATGGATGGTGCAGCCATTAACTTGAACCACGACTTCTTCCAGCTTGGAGGTAACTCCTTGCTTACTGTCCGTCTCCAGTCTCGCATTCGCGAGGCTTTTGGCGTCGTCGTTCCTCTCCACAAGGTCATCGAGTCCAGCAAGCTATCGGCTCTGGGCGCCCTCCTCGATGAGTTCTTGGCCAATTCTCGCATCAACTGGGACCTCGAGACTGCCCTCACCGATGAAATGCTCCACATCTCTCCCGCTGACACCTCCTCTTCCACCCGCAAGAACGCTCAGCCGCTGACTGTCATCCTCACCGGTGCCTCTGGATTCATTGGTCGTCACATCTTGGAACGCCTTGTCCAGGACCCCAAGATCGGCCGCATCCACTGCATTGCCCACCGTCCCCTGTCTGACGAGCTGCCTCACCGCCAGAAGTTCAACGCCGTTGTCGCCTCCTCTTCCAAGATCTCCGTACATGAGGGTGATCTGAGTGCTCCTCGCCTCGGTCTGTCCGAGACCGACTTCGCCGCTCTCGCCCAGCAGGCCGACATGATCATTCACAGCGGTGCCAATCGTTCCTTCTTCAGCACCTACGACCAAGTTCAGGCCATCAACGTCCAGTCCACCAAGGAGCTCGCTCTCATGTCTGCCGCTTCCCTGCGTGACCACCGCCGCATTGTACCCTTCCACTTCCTTTCTGGTAGCGAGGCCGCCACCATCGAGCCTGCTTCGGACGGCTCCCAGGGCTACGTCGCCTCCAAGTGGGCCAGCGAGCGCTTCCTCGAGAAGTACGCTGACCAGCTGCGCCTGCCCGTCCACATTCACCGCCAATTGCCCGTTCCCGAGGGTCGTGAGGCCCAAGGTGAGGAGCTCGACCAGATCCTCCAGGAGTTCGTCGACGTCGCCGCCAACATGACCGAGCTGCCCGACTCGACCACCTGGGGCGGTCACTACGACCTGATCCCCGCTGACCGTCTGTCTCGCGACATTGTCGGCCATGCCTTCACTGCCCTGACCTCGACCGACAACCAGATCTCCAGCGACAACGTCAAGCAGTACTCGCATCTGAGCTCCGTCCGCATGGACATTGCAAAGGTTGTCGAGAGGCTGGACTCGCTGCCCGAGTACGCCCAGAGCGGCCGGCCCAAGATCCCGGCCCACGTCTGGGTCGGCAAGGCTAAGATTGCCGGCTTCCGCTACCAATTCAGCACCATGAACATGGTCCTGCAAGATGCCGAGGGCAAGGGCCTCGCTACGCTGTCGCGGTAGAGTGTTGACCATTCTATCTGACTTGTTTGTTCTTGTATATACCTTTACTCATCACTCTCTGTGTTTTCCTCTCTTTGTATAGCTTGACTCATCACTCTCCCTATTTCCTCGCTTTGTATCCTCATTCATCACTCTCTCTGTTTCTCTCTGTCTAAAATTGTCGTGTTTATATTAGCTTTTACTTTCTCGTTAATAAAGACTTGGTACAATATTTTCTCTCCCTTCTGTAGTGCTGCCTTAGTTCCGTAGAGTGTAACATCTTGTATGTTTTTCCTTTTCTCTCATGTTCTACGATGCTTTGAAGTACATTTTGTATAATATTCTTGAAGAAGCTAGATATATCAAATCATATAATTCATATTCTCACATTTGTCCAATTCTTTGGTCACGTAACGATAAAGACTTGAACATTTCTTCCAAGAAAGTATCTCCGAGTTTCACTACAACAACATCCTAGCCACACTGAGCATAGTTTATCATCTCAATTCTGCGTTTTTGGCAAGAATAACACTTTATTGCTCTAGTAATTCAGTAAGCTATAAAACTTCAATATATACGGTAGATCCTTGAATGATTCCAGATAATGATAGTTATCATGATTGAATAAGAGAGGGTTTAGATAAGAGTGGATGCGAATCTATCTCGTCTTTCTCCAGGCAAAGTCAAGTTACGATTTATTGGCTACTACAGTTCGCGATGTTTGCATTTCACAGGATCGGCAAGACATTTCGGTGATCGGAAATGTCTCAACTCAAGCGTTGATCTATTTTTTTTTCTCGCGGGGCCTGTACAAACGCTTGACTGGTGTCATAGTCTGAGCTGTCCTTTGTGTAGCAACTTGTGATCAGTGAAACATACACGCTACTTTGGACAGACAAATATTACGCAGAAACAATGCAATTCAATATGAATCTGGCAAGGGACTTCATTTAGGCAAAAGATTTCTTCCTAGCTTCAAAGTAACAACGGTATCGTCAAGTACAAAAGAGAAAAAGAACAAAAAAACAGAATCTATATACATCGCCTTAGGGCTGGCACACTGTGCCCCTTTGATGTAGCCCACCCCCACAGTCAAAGAATCATCAAATACATATACACCCCGGGTTATCTAATTCTAACCCTGGTAGTCATAGACAAGCTTAGCCTCGAGCCTCTCACCATCATCCTTGGTGACGAGGACCCGCCGAGCGTGGTAGCGAGTGCCGCCAATGACAATGAAGCCAGCGACCTGCTGGGTGATGACACCCTTGGAGTCGAGGTGCTCAGTCTTGAAGTGCATGACCTCCTCGGTGCCGTCCTCCCAACCCTGGCGGAGGTAGTCGTCGTCGAGATCGGCGAGCTTGCAGATGCGGGAGCGACCGCGGATGTTGCCGAAGAGGCCGTGGGTGAGCTCCACGGGCTCCCAGTTCAGGACACGCTTCTCCTGGGTGGCGGGGAGGCCGCCGCTGGGCTTGTTCTCGATGTCGAGGTGGATGTTGCCGGCCTCGTCCGTGCTCTGGCTGATGTTCAGAGTGACGTGGGCCATGGCAATGACCTTGCGGGTCAGCCAGTTCACGCCCTGGACCTTGAGGATATCGGCCGAGGACTCGGAGAGGGTGTTGTTCTGTAGGTATGTTTAGTATATGGACAGGACTTTGTGGCATGGATGTGGGGGTTTTGGTTGGTGTCTCTTACAGCAGTCCAGGAACCGTTAAGGTCGTGGATGGTCTTGGAAGCGGGAGCGGCCATTGTGTTGGTGTGTGAGTGGTTTTGGGGGTATAGGATTAGGGAAGTGTAGTGAAGGTAGAATTGAGGTTTTGTAGGATGGTGAGTGTGAGTTGCTTTGTTGATTGATTGATTGATGAGTTTCTGAAGCTTCCAACACGTCGCCCATATATACTTCGATGAATATAGACGACACGTCTTGTTCGGTCGATGCCTGATACGACACAGCCCACTTAGGGTATCATATTCAGCCGCAGATGGAGTAGCATACCAAACATTACCGGCATAGTGAATTACCAGTTTGCCGCGTCGGGCATAGAAAGCCGGCCATTTGGGGGCCACATGTTCGTCGCGGTCGACAGGGATCAAAAGTGGATGGGTAGGGCGGCACGGCTGCGAGTATGCGGGAATGTGAAATGCTTGTGTTGGTGACAAGAGTCAAAGCCGCAGCGCCAAGAGTTGCCTCAATAAGGGGCAATGCCCGGGGCTGTCACATTTGCGCTAGTAAAAGGACAAAGAAAGACACAACAAGCTCCGCAGCCACATTTTCAAACGGAGAGCCACTTGCACCTTGCTAACCTAAATAGGACACAGCGGGAGATCATCCCGCAACCCTATCCCAAACGGGTATGCAGGATGTTAGGCACTGTCAGATGCACTGCCAGTGGACGATCCGGTGTCTTGTCCATGTAGGAACCAGATCCGAAGAGATCATTGCTTTTTCTCAGCTTTCTTACGTCTTTTTATTCTCCATCTCTTGGCCATCATCAACAATTCTCTCTTTATCTCAATTTCTTCTTTGCACTCCTACAATTCCCCCCCGGTCGCAACTCTCCCGCGAGACTAACCCTTTTTCTTTCTCTACCTCGTATTGCTATCAACAACTGTATCCACTAGGATTTGGGGGCCACTGCAAGCCAAGCACATATTCACAGGCGTGACACAAGGATCAACCGAATACTGACGGGTGTCTCGCAATTCTCCAGCAAGGGGGATCATTTCCAACATTATGTACACGCAGTCCGAGAAGTTGCCCATGAATGGGCAGGATCGCATGCATCCACAAACACGATACGACCCACCTAGCCACCCGCCTCCTCAATACGAGCAAGCCCAGTACGGACAGCCTCAGTATGGACCTTCCTCAACAGGACAACCTCATTACGGACAATCACAATACGGTCAACCCCAATATGGACAACCCCAATATGGACAACCTCATTACGGACAGCAACAATATACCCAGCCCCAATATGGCCAACCGCAATATGGCCAACAACCTCAGTATGGCCAGCAACAGTATGGACAAACACCATACGGACAGCTTCAGCCCGGTCCCAACCCCATGTTTGGAGGGCAACCCACCCCAGATCCCAGATACGACTCACAAGCCGGGATGGCCACCATGGGAGGGCCATTGCCTCTTCCCGTCGTGATTCCACAGCAGCGCCCAGGGTCTCAGGAGCGAGGCTTCATGGCCGCCTACGCACCATCCCTAGAGTCGTGCGGCATCGATCAAAGGTCGTTCCTGCGCTTCATCGACGAGACCAACACAGCCCTAGAGGGCAACAAGTACCTCGCCGGTGTGCAAGTAGTCTCTCTCGGCGTGGGCTTCACCCCCGAGGTCATCGTCATGGGCGTCGCCGCAGCAGTGCAAGCAGGCGCCTGGGTAGCCAACAAGGGCTACGTCAGAGGAAAGTAAGTGCCGACCACGACCTCTCTCCCCTAAAGCCATGAGTGCTAATCAGCCCTAACTTAGGACCAACAACGTCATGGACAAGTACAACCGCGAGCTTTTCGCCCCTAACGGTCTGTTCTGCATGATCATGAAACATGATCCGGAGCTCAAGGAGCCCAAGAACTCCAGCCGTCTGAAGCAACTCGCCTCAATGGCTGTCAACGGTTCAAGCAATGGCGGCGGCAGCGCATGGATGCGTAACCACATTTCCGGCTCGACGCAGGGACCTGGTGGTCTTCCTATAGCCGTCGCACCGCTTGTCTACATGGACAACCGCCGCCAACACAAGAACTACCTGTCCGATTCTCCGTCGGAGTCACCGGCCCCGGAGAGGGATGTCGCTCCCCCCGCCGGAGGCAAGGTTTCAACCAAGGAAAAGGCCAAGAAGGCCTTTGATAACTTCAACGACTACCTCGATCGTCGCGCTCGCGCAAAGTACATGGCCGAGAACGGCAACGACGCGCTGAGCGGGCCGGCGGGTCGTGGCTTCAGCAATCGGTACCTGGACCCCAATCATCCGGCCGTCAACGGGGGGTTGATTGGCGTGCTTTCCGGCGGCGTGTTGAGTCCTACCCCAGAGCAGCGTGCGCAGAAGAAGGCCGCCAGGATTGATGAAGAGGAGAGGAGAGTTCTTGATGAATACAACGACCGGAAGGAGCGCATCTTGAACGATCGACGTAGTCAATCCGAGACAGATCGCGAGTTGAGGCGGTTGGACAAGGACTATGAGCCTCGTCTGGAGGTGTTCCGCAAGAAGAGAAGGGAGCTGGAAGGTGGTAAACGATCCATCAAGAGCGTAAGTCTAAATCCATCTCTGACTTGGCGGTATTGTTCCTTTGACTGACCATGGCTTTCTGCAGAACATTTTATACCTGATGATTGTCAACCTTCCTTCGGACGCTACTCTTGCTGCCGCTTCGTCGAAGCTGGACCAGGAATATGGTCATAGTGTCACGACCGAGACGATGCCACCACCAGCGTACTAAGCGTTTCATTGATTATGCATTCACGTTTTTTCGGGCATTTCATTTAATGTAGCGGGGTTATGCGAAGGACTTTTATGATTTTTATGCATCGATAGCAATGTTGAATGATTTTGTGCGATAGACTAAATACCCCAAATCAGACAAAATTGGAGTTTCAATCTCACCTCATGCTCTCTACTGATGTAGTCCATGTTGGGACTAGTTTGACTAGATGCGATATATCGTTTTGGGTCTAGCGGTTAGTGCTTTTATAAGACAAAGCTAATTGCCCGTGTTGGACCCGGACACTGAGATTGTGTTACCACCTGACATTTTCATTATTCTCACTATTTACAAGCAAAGAAACCATAGAGTACATTAATAGCACAGACAACACTGGTGGGGGTGATGGTCAAAACGCTCAGATACCTATCCGTTCCAGAGTAACCCGCCATACACTGTACTGAATAACTATTACAAAAATGACAGCAGATCCAAGGAGAGAAATAAAACATCAATAGAAAGTATGACAATTTGTACAAGCTGAAAATGAAATGTCGTATACTTGTCGAAGAAGAGTCGAAGGAGTGTCGAAGGAGAGAGTCCTGCTCTTTTCTTACCGGCTAGCCTCGTGGAGGCGCACCGTGACCGTGTCACCAGGAGCGCTGACCAGGGTCAAGCCCCACCTAATTCTCTGGTCGGCGTTGACATCCTCGATTCCGTCAAAGCGCTGGAGCATACGGACAAGGACGTATCCAGCCTCGGTGAGGGCGAACTGTTGGCCAATGCAGATGCGCGGCCCACCGTTGAAGGGGAGGTACTCCCAGCCGGAGCGGCGGGCCTCCCAGCGCTCGGGCTTGAACTCACCTGAGTCCTTGCCCCAGACGTCCTCGCGGCGGTGCAGCATATGCACGTTGTACAGGACGGCCTGGCCCTTCTTGATGTACACGGGGCTCTGGCCGTCGGGGCCGCCGCCGCGGGGCAGGCTAGTGTCCTTGGTGGCGTAGCGGGCGTTGGTGGGCAAGGGCGGGAACAGGCGGAGCGTCTCGCTCATGACCTGCTGCAGGTATGTGCAGGCCTTGAGGGTGGCAAAAGTGATGTTTTGGGGGTTCTCGTAGGTGCCGAAGTCGGCGATGATGGCCTCGCGCAGCTTGCGGAAGACTTCTGGGTGGCGAGAGAGCAGCAGGGTGGTCCAGCTCAGCAGCGCGGCGGTGGTATCGCGGCCGGCGAGCAGGACGTTGAGCAGCTGGGAGCGCAGCTCGATCGGGTCCTTGGTGGTTGCGGCCATGGCGTGGACAAAGATGTAATGCTCGGATGCGCCCTCCTCGGGCTGCTGCTTCTTCTTGTGGTCGTGCAGGGCCTTGGCGACGCATTCGTCAACGAAACGGTGGACCTCCTGGCAGCAGGTTCGAAACTCTTTGCCGTCGTATAGGAACTTCATGCGAGGTAGACGTAGGCGCTGCGCCATGTACCACTGGGCGCGGTCAAAGTACTTGCCAAAGTCAGTCACCTTGCCGCCACTGGCCATGTGGTCCTCGGCGTCACCCATGGCGGCCAGCTGGGAGTAGCAGCTCTCGCCGAAGAGCAGCTCGGTTGCGGAGTCGAGGGTCAGGCGAAAGTAGATGCTTTGCATGTCAACCTCGGTCCAGCCGTTGCTTCCAGCGGCGGGTATGGCACGCATGGCATTTTGGACGTGGCGCTCTTCGAGACGCAGGTCGCTGATTTGGTCCCGGGTGAACTGGGGCCGGAGCATTGTACGCGAGTGCGACCACTCGGCGCCGTCGTTGATGAACTGCATGCACGTTGATTGTCAGTTTGGGCCAGATTTAGATGTAAGGCGACAGCACGAGGCATAACGAGAACATACGATTCCCTTGCCCAACAACGGGCCCATGCATCCCAGTCTCTCACCACCAACGGAAAAGTCTTTGAACTGTTTGGCCAACATGGCCTGGAGGTTTTCCGGGTCAAAGGTGAGCATGTTCTCACCCAGACCTCTCTTGAGACGGAAGGTCGAAACGTAGCGTCCGGCGATGTCGCGCATGATGTTAGTGCGGCTCTCGAGCAGCTCAGGCACCACCTTGTTCTTGTCCGCCTGGATGATCTCCAGAATATCGCCGATAGCGAGGGGGTCCTTGGATGGAGCCATGGGCGCTGGCCGGCAGCCCATGCGCTTGGCATTTTGATAGTGCCTCCATTTCTCGCTCACGATGCGCGCGACAAAAGTAAGGCCGGCGAGGACCAAGAAGAGTGTCTTGAGTCCCATGGTGATCTAAGTATTTGAGAATTGAAGACTAAGGGTTATGGTCTGAATGAAGGTATGCCTGTGTGGCATGCAATGTCAACGACAGGTTCCTTTCGATAGCAGCGCCCGTACATAGATATATCTTCATTTTCCATTTCGTATTCCATGGGCACTTAGTCTGGCCATTCTTAGTGAATCCCGCAGGAGTCGATATTCCACTCAGTAGATACTCTATTGTCAGCATTGCTATACTCGATGGATCTATGGAGTTGTGGTAGATCCTTCCGGAGGCGTGGCAGATCGGAGTGAGTGGGTAGATTCCGGCAAATGCTACCCAATTGGGAAAGCGTTGCTAGATGACGCTGGGATCCCGCACGTATTTGGCCCCTTTGCACAGCCCGACACAAACAGGGCTGCCCTGCCTGTTCTTCATGTTTTGTTCCTGATGAGTCTCATTGTAGTAAGTTGGAAACCATTCATCATCTTGACATCAATCATGCCACCGACACGCTTGACCGCGTCGTACGATGCTACTTATACGACTTTCTAAACACGTGCATTTCCCGCCTTCAGCTTGTTGACCCTAAATGGATCATTCATTCAAGACCTCGCCAATCGCCGCTTTGGGTTAGGTTTTCCAGTTCTTCACCACCCATGGGCTCTGGCGGATATTCCGAGATGCATAAACTGTGGATAAGCCTGACAGTGATTAGTCATTTAGCATAACTTGATAGTTACTAGAATACTGCTTCATTTGCTGTTCGACATGGAAATACAGTATATAGCTTCTAACATCAAATGTTATCACCTCCTGTCTCCTACCAGCCTACACGTATCTACTAAACAACAACGAGCAATTGGACCCCATTAACAACATGACTGGTCAAGCTGGAATATGTCCAGTTCTTTCAGAAGAAGGTGACAAGTGCCGCGGCCATCAAACCCTCACTACTAACTCCCTCTGGAACACTCCCACTATCCCATCGCTGCCGGTCTCATCTGATTGCCCAGCATAAAGATTCTTAGGCTAGCCCACCTCACTCTCTGAAACATTGACAAATGAAAAAAATAAAATAAAAAAGCGACTCCTATCTTACTCCACAGGGGCGCACAAAAACTTACCATAGCGCCATTGTTCAAGGAACAAAAGCTCTTTCTCAATACGCGGTGACTTTGTTTCCGTAAAGATTTGAGCTGCGCCACTGGCGCTCAGGGGCACATGTAGTATTTTGCTTGTATCTCTAGAGTCTAGACCGCTCTGTCGGCTGCTTACTATAATTGGTGCATTATTGTCGATTTCGATACTTAGAATAGTGCTACAACGCTACACTGAGCTCTGTAGAAAGGACTCATCAGCACTCTAAGGATATTCTGTAGATGGTAGGGAAAGATTGGTTAAAACACTCACGTTTGCCATAAATATGAGTTTTTTAATTCCTAACTCGACAGCAAGAACTCATATGGCGAAGTTTCATCTCTGTAGCCGGTACCTCTATAGTTTGCCCGTACATGTACGCATGCCTTGCCATTCAACATTCAACTAGTGACAATAAAACCCGACAGGCCACGTTGCTCGTTGTGGAGATGTGGAGCGACAGCTAAGGATTCAGTACTTCTTCCAGAACATATTCCAGAATGCTGGTGTTATACTAGCCACAGGCCAAGAATCTGACCGCGGACGCGATCCAGTGTGAGCGAATCATATACATCGCTGAAAATGTCCGTGATCAAAAAGGCTAGCAAGTCAGATAGCATAAGCAGTTCGATCACTAAAAGCGATTCCACGTTCCGACACTGGCTTCTGTGCAGAGATCGGTTTTCTGCGCAATGCGGATCCTCAGGCGCTTCTCTAATGCTCGTAGAAGTCTCAATCGTACGATGCCTCGGATCCCTTCACCATCTAGGCTAATTACAATCGGGCGCTTGGCGCTTAGTCGGAGATAGATGGTGATTGTACGGCTGACTGACTGTATACGAATGGAACGCTGTGGGAGGTTGGTACGATATTGCTTTAATCCATTTCCTTGACGAGGGTCATAAGCCCAGTTCTCCTAAATGCCTTGATAGTAGTTGGATATAAAGAAACACTGTGATGGTCTGTGCTTAGAGATAATCAGAAAAGAGCGAACATGATATAAACTACAGTTCACTCGCGCCTCCCTGTACAATACCAAAGGGATCAATGAGCGGAAGTTATCTATTGAAGTCCCCCGCCTCACCCATGAAGATAATCAGACAGAAACAAGACAGGCGTTAGTTGAACTTTTTATGCGTGGCGTATGAATAGGACAAGCCATGTGGTTTTGACATAATCATGGATATTCGTCTTCGAGTCTGAGCAAGTCATCACATTTCTCTATGATCTGACTGGGTATTCTTCGGCATGTGTGCTGTTAGTACGAAGCTAATACTAAATAGGAGAATACAATCATGCCTGATTCAGAAAGTGCAGAAGCGTTTTGACTCCACTTTCAATATAAATCACGATCGCGTGGCGCATACTACCTTCGAACGGCCGATCTTGGCATGTAGGGCAATATGAAATATATCCGTTTTGATGCCATTATATCCAATCAAACACGCTTCTTATCAAGCTAGAATTGTATAAAGATATTACCAATTTGAAGCTGACTAAAATAAAATACATCAGAAAATTTAGAACAATTTGGTATACGGAATCTTTAGATTATGTCAAAATACAAGTAAAATACAGGTATTTTGAATTAACAGTTATTATATGTAGTGAAGAACTCCGGATATATTCTTAAATTCTATTCATTATAATAATAATCTACATTGTCGGACTAAAGTCGTACGCTCTTGAAAAAGTTAACATACATTTCGAGTCAAAAGGTGTAGATGTTGGGAAAAGTGTTGTGAGGATCCCGCTTCGGACATTGACCGCTCGGCTAGCGGGTAAACGACAAGTATTCTGAGCTGTTGGCTCAGAATGCCGCATCCTTTAGACTAGAAGCTTAGGAGAATGTTGAGATCGACCGGATCCTCAGAGGCGTGGTGTCAGGGTCCAGCCCTGGTGTGTTTCAGGCCGTGCATCCTCCAGTTACTGACCGTTCGGCTAGCGGGTAAATAGACAAAAATGCTAAGCCAACCGCCCAGAAAGCGTCTCCCTTAGAAGCTTCGGAATACGAGGTGGGCAGATCCTCACATAGGGTTGACGGTAGCGAGCATGGGGGCCAGGGGCGTTGGGTAAGGGGGCCAAAATTCTCATTTTTCGGAGTTCGTGTGTACTGGCATTTCTGGATACCGCCTAGCAAGGGCGGCCTGAACCGCCGGCTTTCAGGCTTAGCCGTGGAGTCTGTTTGACAAAACGCAGTCTGGAGTATGTGGAGGCCAAATAGTAGACTAGCGGGTGGGCGCCTCTTTTTTGTATGGCGTTATCGGATGGGCCGCTCGACCGAGTGTGACCGTAACTCTCATCACCCGCTTGATTCATGACCAGTCACGTGGCTCACTTAGTGCTTATCCTGCTGTGGATATGCCCTTCGTGATGTGATACCAGTTATCACTGATAACAATCCCTGCCGAAGCGTGTTGCTAACACTTAAGTGATGTCACGCCGGGAACAATCATTTGCCCGATTACAGGAGATCCTCTCTGGAATGACTTTGGATAGCAGCTTCTCTTCCAGAAAAAATCCCCAATATGCACTCGTGGCCAACGCTGTCTTCTTCAGTCAGCGTTCTTCAAGACGGCCTTAATTGTGGGGATGTAACCTCGTATTCAGCCTGGAAGCTTCTACAAGGAGGCGCATTTTGAGCTGTTGGCTTGAATCCTTGCCTTTCACCCGTTAGCCAACCGGTCAGTATCCGGAGGATCCACTGCAGGAAACACACAAGGCTGAATCCTTGACGAAATTCTGAGCCTACCTGGCGCGCGGGTGATTCCTGGATCGAATGTGGTGGCTGAGAATTTCGAGATTTAATCTAGTTTCTGTGGTGAAACATGCAATCAGCCCGCGAATCCAAGTTGGGGGCTAGTTTATAAGCACCAGGCTAGTAGCTGGGCATATCCACCTACTGTGAAAATCCGGCCTCGTATTCATCAGTTAGCTTATAAGGATTGCGCATTCTGAGTCTAGTCGTGGACTGGATCGCCTAACGGTACGGAATTCCGGGGGATTCACTCCTGAAGCGCCCCAGAAGCGGATCCTGGCACACGTGGTCAATGAAGGAGACAAGAGTCATGTAGATATAGTAAACCACTGATATAATGGATACAGTATTGACAAATTTCCTATATTTAGATGAATATGGAAAGAACGGCCTAAACTGAACAGTTGGCCAAGTCACAAATGTTAGTGTATTTTACTATGACTATACTTTACCGTGGCTGTACTTACGCTCTTCAATAGTTCAACTAGTTAGTTGCTTTGTTATATGATTAGTTTATGTAAACCCACCTTCTCTTAATTTAAAGTAATCTCATTTAAAAACCTAGCAACATTCCAGTATTGAAGTGTGAAGGGATCTAGTATATAAAATCCATTCAGACTGCTGATTTAATACCTTTTTAAGTAGAGGCATCCCTATAACCATGGGTACTAATTACTATATCAAAGGTTTACAGTATTATGACATGGATGGGATGGCAGATCAGCGATCGCTGCAGCCCCATCCGGCTTAGCCGCCGGGCGCTAAGCAATTGGGAAGGGGGGGGTGTTTGCGTGTATTTAGGCACAACATTCTTCGCCCACTTCAAATATGTGTGATTGTCTTCTCCTTGTTGCTTTTCTCTTTCCAAGCTTTTTTTAGCGTAGCGTTGCCCGACCGTGACCTCCACCTCAACCAGCCTTGGCTGACTTGGCTTGTGTCTCCACGCGGAACGGGACACTGTCCCCTCCCCCTTCTCTCTCTCTTTCTCTCTTCTCTTATCCATCGTTACTAAGTCAGTGCGTTGGATCTGATGCCTGACACAATTTCCCCCGCCTATTCATCGACAATCTTCATCATCATCATCACCATCACCACCACCACCACCACCACCACCACCACTTGGTAGACTCGCCCATCATGGTCTACTGCGGTCGCCCTTCAACAAGTTGCAACAATTGTCGTGCCAAGAAGAGAAGAGTAAGCCATTCCTGTTTGTGTCCCGGTTCCAAACACATTTTGGCTCACATTTGCCCTCCCCCCCCCGAAAAGTGCGACAAAGCAGTCCCAGAATGCGGCCAATGCTGGCGCACAGGTCAGAAATGCCCTGGATACAGAGATCCTTCCAGTCTCATCTTTCGCGATGAGAGCACACAAGTCATCAACCGCGCCCGCTCAAAAGTCTCCAAGAGGACTTCGACGGCCACCCCAACCAGCCGTCTTTCAGTTGAGCGCACACCAACTCCACCACAAGCACAGAAGCAACAGCAAAAAAAACAACAACAACACACACCACCACAACTACAACCGCAACCACAATCACAACAACTTCAAAACACCTCCGCACCAGACTACACTATTCAGGCGAACCGCCCCTCCGATGTTGTCGACGAGGCCATGCTGGACATGAGCGACGTCGATGTCGGCGTCGGCATGTTCGTCGGCGGCAGCTTCATGCCCGAGTTGATGAGCTTCCCCGACCCTTTCAACCCGGACGAGAATGCGCTCTTTTCCCTCCACCAGGATGCTTCACCCAGCTCCATGCCGGTATTATCGTGCGACCGGCCTGGCTCCGCTATGTCTGTTCCTATCTCAATATCTGGGCCACGTTCGCATGTCGGCGCTTCTAGCGTAGGCGGCGACGATCTGGCTCTGGATCAGTTACTCCCCGATGACGGCACCAACCACGGCGACCGCCAACGGCTAGAACACAACAACAATAACTTCACCAGCAATCAATCCGAGGCCATACCGCGTCCCTTCTCCTTACCTCTCGTCATTATTGGTCTCGATTTCTTCCTCTCTCACTACGTTGTTCGGCAGTCCGGTCCTTCCTCCGGCTTCTTCGACTACGCCCCGGCCATGCTGGCGCAAGATGACGGCGGCGGCGACATGCTCGAGGGCGCCATTCTGGCTCTCGGCCTCAGTGGGCTCGCTCGTACCACGAGCCAAGCCGACCTCTTGACTCGGTCCATGATGATGTACACCCGCACGATGGAGCGCGTCAATCTCGCCCTCGCCGACCCCCAGGCCGCCCGTCGCGACAGCACCATCGTCTCTGTGCTCGTCCTCGCCCTCTACGAGTTCAGTAGGGCTTCTATCGAGGGCTGGAAGCACCACATTGAGGGTGCCACGTCGCTCCTCAACCTGCGCGGCCGCTCGCAGTTCTCTACCCCGACCGGTCTGCAGATCTTCAAGGATGTCTTCTCCCAGCTCCTTACCAACTGCCTACGCTCCGGCTCCCCCATGCCCTCAAGCCTACGTATGCTGCGCATCGAGGCCACCAACGCTCTTAGCGTCTCGGACCCCTACTGGGTTGCCTGCAGCGGCATGGTCGAGCTTCTGGACCTCTACCAGCAGATTTCCCCGGGCGGCTACTCATTCTTTGCCGCCGCTGCGGGCGCCTCCTCCGTCCCTCCCGATTCCTCCAACTCCCCCTCTACTACCTCCGGTTCTTCCCCCGCCTCTACCTCCTCCATGTCCTCCGGTCCTCTCAAGGGTGCCAACATCTCCATTGAGCACCTTGAGCGCTACCTCTCCCAGGCGCTCGAAATTGACTACCGCCTCGAGAGCACCTTCTCCAAGTGCCCTTCCGACTGGCAGTTCACCACCCAATCCAACTCCAGCAACAACTACGATCCGAATCGCATCCAGCGCGGCGGCGTCACCCACATCTACCACGATGTCTGCATCGCCGACGTCTGGAACAGCATGCGCATCTGCCGCATCCTCGCCAACCACGCTATCAGCCACCTTCTACTTAAAGGCGCCAACACCGACAGCAACTGGTTCTTCACCAACAACTACGCCGAGCGCCTACACCAGGCCACCCAGACCATCGTCCGCATGCGCGACGAGATGCTCGCCTCCGTGCCCCAGCTCATGGGCTACGCCATCTCCCCATCACAGGAGCTGCAGCTCCAGCAGCAGCAGCAGCAGAAGCAGCAACCGCACGAACGCTCCAAAAACATTCCCGGCTTGGCCGTCGGCGGCTATTTTGCCTGCTGGGTTCTCCTCACCGTAGGCTGCATGCACAACCTCGGCCACGAGACCCGTGCGTGGACGGCCACCCAGTTGCGCCGAATCAGCTGCGAAGCAGGTCTTGCGCAGGCAGATGATTTCGCCAATTTTGTTCAATCAAGCAATCTCCGTCCGCCGTTGAGTTGAGAGTGTTGAGAAGCATATCATTCTAATGTAGATATTTAATACAGTGATACACTGCATATAGAGCATATTCTGGACCTATGGGGTTATGCAAGTATATATATATATATATATATATATATATTGTTATATATATTTTCACTAATGAAAAGTCGAACGAAATCACCTTATCTGAGAGAGAGAGTTTACCATGAGTAGTACATACTAGGTATTAATATTTGTAGAATGCACTGTGATTTTGCAGATGATGAACCATCTCGAATTTGAGGAGACGAATCAATATCTGAAATATCTTGTTGATGATTTAAAATCTTTAGTATTCGAAACAAGCCAGAAAGCCCTTCTCATCTCTCGGTCAAATAAGTAATAAGGTTACTCTAAACCAAATGACAATTATTGCCACAAAAGGTTGTAAGGACCACAACAGCAGTTTGAACTTCTCAGAAGTAAAATTAAACAGCGACTATCTAATTGGACTAGAAGTAAAGTAAGACAATGGTCGAGATCAAGACAGATCGACAAGACAAACAAGAAACGCGAAGAAGAAGATAAAGCGTGACCAACGAAAAAGACAATTGAAACAGTCCGACCCAAAACAAAGCGAAGCTGCTAAACCAAATCTCCAAATTATATACAATATATCTCAAGGATAGCATCATCGCAGTCCACCACTCATTATAAATACCTACTGCTGTCTCTCACAGGATCAAACACTCCATCCGGGTTATGCAAGATCTGATCAAGCGAGTGGTTCAGAGTCACCAGCAAGCCCTGCGCCCACTCCTGAGTCATGAACTCGTATCCCGGCCAGCGGTTGTTGTACGTGCAGCGCAGACGGAACTTCTCGTCCTCGTTGTCACGTCCGGGCCAGAGCTCCATCAAGATCGGGTAGCCGTGGTTGGTCTCCTTCCAGGGAGCCTGAAGGTTCTCCTCGCGGGTGAAGCCGGGCAAAGTCTCCATGTTGGTCTTGGGCAGGCCGCTGGCATCGACATCGACCTCCTCCTTGGGGTAGGCCTGCAGGATGATAGTGTTGTCGAAGCGACGCGTCAGCTTGGCAAAGTCGATGGTGGGGCAGGGCATCTCCGAGTACTCCAGGGAGTCGACGTATTGGGTGAACAGCTCCTGGCAGATCTGGCGGTGGGTGCGCTTCTTGGGCCCGCCGTCTGCCTCGCTCTTGTACGCGTCCGAGAAGACGATGCGGGTGGGGAGGACGTCTAGCATCAGGGCTACGCAGCGAAGGGCCTCGGGGCTGTGGCGACCGTGGAAGACGCTGCCGAATTGCACGTCGAGGTTGGCGGTGGACGGTTCCTGGTCGGCGCTATTGGCCTTGACGAGACTCTGCGCAAGGGTCATGGCCCAGGCACCCTGAACAATGGCCATGGGCGAGGGGAACTTGGCAATCTTGCAAAGGGAGAAGAGCTCGTTCAGGCTGATAGAGGACTCGAGGATCTCGCAGGCGGTGTCCTGGGTGGTGCGGATCGAGGTGAATTGTCCAGGAACGACACCCTTGAGCACTGTCTGGCCAGCCTTGAAGGGGGCCACACCGGCGAGACGCTGCATCCAGTACATGCTGGTAGCGAGCCAGTCGGTGCTGTAGTGCTTCTCGACGGGGAGGCGCATGCCGACCGCGGGCAGGTTGCTGGGAGGAACGCCCTCGTACGCCTGTGCGAACGAGCGGCGCAGGAAGTCGAGACTCATACCGTCGTAGATAAGATGGAAAAGGGAGAAGATGATGACGTGGTGCTTGTTGTCGGCCGAGTGCACGACGTGAACAACGGCACCGGGGCGGTCCAGACGGATGTATTCCTCGGCGCTGCGCTGGGCGTTGCCGATGGTCTGTTCCCAGAGGCTGTCCGGACTGGTGTCGTACTCGTGAACGACGCTTTGGACCATGGGCAGCTGGGCACGGGGGTGCGCAGGGTTGAGGATACACTGGGCGTAGGGGCTCAGGGGGTGGTCGACCTGGACCCAGACGGTGCGGAAGGCGTCATGGCGCTTGGTGACATCGACGATGGCCTGCTCAAGGCGGGCGGGGTCGAGCTCGTCGGGCAAATGGTAAACAAAGTGCTCGATGCAGGGCTTGGTGATGTTCATCTCCTCGGCCTCCTCGACGAAGACGAGCATGCGGGTCTGGACACCGGTGGCGGGCAGAACCTCCTCGATGTCCTCGCTGGCGATACCTAGCGACTTGACGCACTGCGGACGGGCAATAGAGTTGAAGTGTCGAAGTTTGGTGGCCAGCGACATGGTCAGGAGCTCCTCTTCGTCTTCGATCTCAATGTCCTCGTCTTCGCCGGAGTCCTGGTCCAGCTTATCCTGGGACGAATCGCCCACCAACTCGCCAATTCTCTTGGCTAGGTCAGCAACCACGGGATAGGCAAAGACGTCACGAAGGAGGATAGTTGCATTCAGGCGCTGGTTGATGCGTGCGGCAATACGCGGGGCCATGAGCGAGTGGCCGCCAAGGTCGAAGAAGTTGTCGGTAATGCCGACGGCATCGACGTTCAGCACACTGGAAAGCTCTTCGCACACGACACGCTCCAGATCTGTGCGTGGCTCAACGATCTGGCGAGAGGTCTTGGTCGCCTTGCCAAACACGCTCGCCAGTCTAGCCAGCTCCTTACGGTCCACCTTGCCGTTGGCGTTGATGGGCATCTTATCCAGCACGGCGATACGTGCAGGGATCATGTACTTGGGCAGTGAGGCCTGTAGCGCCTTCTTGAGCAAAGCCTCAACCACCTCAGCCTCTTGACGGCGCAGGGGGCTGTTGGTCAGAGAATCTTTGGACCGACCCTCGTGCTCAGTCGGGAAGCGGAACAAGGGGCGCAGACCCTCGATGCGGTGGAAGACGGCGTCCAGACCGCCGCGAAGAGAACGCTGGCGCGCCCAGCTCAGCTCGACCTTGAAGCCAGCCTGTTCAGCCAGCTCAGCCAGGTCCAAAGCTGACAGGGCTGGACAACGGTTGGCAGCCTCACGCTGTGAGGTAAGCCAGTCGGCTCCCCCCTCAGTCTTATCGTCAAGCGAGTCGACGATGTGGCGTTCGAGAATAGTCTTGCTGTAGGGCACGTTGCTCACGGCAACCGTAGAGGCGGTCGACGACGCCTGTAGAAGGGCTAACAAGCCAGCACGATCCAGCTGCTTGGCCTTGAAATCGACCCAGGCGCCCTCGCTGATCTCCCGGATAGCCTTGGGCTTACCGTCCTGGCGTTTGTGGATGACGGCCGCGAAACGGTAGCAGCTCAGCTCGTTGGTGGCCTTCATGCGCTTGGGGAGAATCTCGACGTGCTCGACAATCTCCGGGAGGCGGCTCATTAAGTTGGTGAAAAAGGCCGGGTCGGCAAGGAACTCTTCCTCCTCTGCTTCCGCCTTCGTCAGCTCGTGTCGCACTGCTTCCTTGGTCGCAGAGGAGCCTAATTGATGCAGAGCCCTAGTCGTGCAGAACTCGCGGTAGACGGCCCAGGAGCGCATGTCACCAAAGTAGATGCGCTCCACGCCATCAATAGCCAGCAACTTGTCCACTACGGAGGAGATGTACTCTTGCGTGGGGAAGTACTGGGCCACCGAGTTAATCACCACCATGTCTGGATGGTTAAGCTCGCCCAGGGAGTCGACGTCGATGGCTGTGCCGACGCGCACGTCGACCTTGCCAGCCAGGGATGGCCTTGCTTGGGCCACCTTGTTGACGAAAGCAGCGGCAGATGCAGACGGGTCAAGCCCGACATAGCTGTTCAGGTTGTCAATGAGATTGAACAAGATCATACCCGTTCCGGTTCCGATCTCTAGAACATTGCGTGGGTGTCCGCCATTACGGTACATGTGGTGTATGGTGTCATCCAGCCACTCATTCATCTCGGCGGTGTCGATGAGCTTGCCGTCGTACATGGACGTCCAACCCATGAAGTCTCTGCCGACCTTGGTGGTGTCAATTCTGTTGATGTCCGCATAGGTGCCAGTCTCGAAGAGATCCCTCCAAGTCTCGACCTGGTTCTCAAGTCGGCTGTTGTCACCGGCGTCCTTCTGGTTCTGGGAGTCCTCCTGAGCGGCGGCATCCGCGATATTACCTTGGACAGTGACAAAGCTCACAAGATCCGCCGGCTCGCCCTCGGGTTGGTGCACCAGAGTCACAGCATCGCTTACAGACTCGTTACGCAGGAGAGCATGCTCGATCTCGGGCAGCTCAACGCGGTGACCACGGATCTTGACCTGGAAGTCCATACGGCCAAAAAATTCGATCATGCCGTCCGAAGGACGGTGGCGCACTCGGTCACCGGTGCGGTAGGCGCGGACAGACTCACCGTTGATAATCACCTGCACGAAGCGGTTCTTGTTGAGCCTCGAATCGGTATATCCACGGGCAAGACCGTCACCAGTGACGATGAGCTCACCCATGACTCCAGGAGGAACGAGGCGCTGCTCGGGATCCATGATGAAAGCGCCCGAGTTGCTGATGGCAACGCCGATGGGCATGCCATTGACACACTTCTCGTTGGCCGGGACTTTGTAGATGGTGCTGAAGGTGGTGTTCTCGGTGGGACCGTAAGCGTTAACGAGGTCACCCTTGATAATGCTCTTGGCTTGGGCAGCATCGCGAGGATCGAGACGGTCTCCGGCAGCGAAGAGTAGTTCCAGACCAGAAAGAGCATATGGGGCATTGGCGAGGCACTGCTTGAGGAGGGCAGGCGTGAGCATGCAGGACCGCACGGCCTCCCGCTGCAGCACCTGTCCCAGGGTCACCGGGTCGATGACCGTCATGTAGTCAATGCAGACGATCGTACCGCCGTTGAGCAGCGCGGCGTAGATCTCCCACGTCGCGGCGTCAAAGGCCAGGTTGGCAACGTGCGCAATGTTGCCACTTGACTGCGTCTTGGAGGCCACATTGGTCTCGCGCACCAGGCGCACGATGCCGCGGTGCTCCACTTGGACACCCTTGGGCTTGCCCGTTGACCCGGACGTGAACATGACGTATGCGAGGCTAGAAGCCGTGGGAGTTGGCAGAGCGCCAGAAAAGTGCTGGCCTTGCTCGTCTAGGGCCTGGGCAATGTGGCGGAAGCTCACGTCCTTGAGCTGCAGAGCGGGAGGCGCGACGCCGGCACCGAGAAGGACGAGCTTGTCTCCATCGACCGCAGAGAGGATGCTCTCGAGGCGGCCAACGGGAACGTTGACGTCGAGAGGCAAATAGGCCAGATTAGCCTTGAGAATGGCCAACAAAGCCATAATTGTCTCGCACGACCGCGGTGCCAGCACTGCGACCATAGTCTCTGGGGCGATCCCACGCTGGACCAGCCAGTGGGCGAGCCGGTCCGATTGCCGGTCCAGTTCCGCGTACGTGAGTTGAGAAGACGAGTATGCATTCTTGACGGCAACGGCGTTAGGGCTGAGAGAGACCTGTCTCCGGAAAAGTTCGACGACGCTGGACTCGCGCGGGTAATCGGTGCGCGCAACATCTGTGAGGCCCATATCGGCTAGTGCGGAGAGGCCCTGGGTAAGAGGCATTGTTGAGACGAGGGCCTCGGGTGTCTTGACGCCACGGCCGAGGACCTCAGTGAAGACGGACTCGACGAGGCGGATGGATGAAGCTTCAAACAGATCATCCGAGAAGATGATGTGACCGCTCATACGCTGAGACTTTTGGACGAGATGGAGTTCAATGTCATACTTGGACGTGGCTGCCTTCATACTGTCGAGCTGTAGGCTGTTGGCATCTTCTGACGAGTGAACTGCAAATATCGTCTGAACAAGCGGGTTACGAGACCGGTCGGCGGCACCAGGACGCAGCTCCGAGACGATCTTCTGGAAGGCAACATCCTGGTGGTTAGATGCCGTGCTGGTGGTCTGCTGGACCTGTTGAACGAGCGCATAAAAGGAGTCCTCTGGCTCGACGGTGGTGCGAATGAATAGGATGTTGGTGTTGCTGAGGATGGGGGTGCCAATGGTGGCATCGTCGACTCCGGTGAGGCGGTAGTGTGTCGCCCTGAAAGCGGCGAGGAGCACCACAAAGGGGGTGAACTGGTGTGTCTGGCAAAAGGTCTGGAGCTCCCGGTAAAGCTGGTCATTGAGGGTGAAGTGGTGGACCTGCGCCTTGTCAGAGGAGATGGCCGACCGGGGCTTGTCGCAGAGGAGCTCCGCGGGCTGGCTTCCCTCAAGCTGCTCCTTCCAATATGCGAGCTGACGTTGCTCTGTCTCGGTCATTGTGATAAACTGATCTCTTATGTTGTTGGGGTGGTGAAAGGAGTGAAATAAGACAAAAGCCGGCTAGACGTGTAAAGAATGAGAAGGCCAAAGTGAGGAAACGCCGAGATAATGGGTATTCAAAACATGTTCATCCCCACAAAGCAGGCATCCTGCCTTGTTGTCCTTTATATATAGAGGAAATGCCATTATGGTGTCAGCAGTGTTCCTGGAGGATCGCTACACGAAGATACCCAATTCTAGTTCATGATCCTCCGGACTGACATTGTCTGGATGTAGTAACGATCATGAAGAGTGCTAGTCCCGCTGGAAAACGACAAAGTAGGGTGGATAACGCAGGTTTCTAGAAGTGGCCCCCAGTAAGATATTAGGCTTGTTTGTTCAAAGGAAGGAGACGGTAATTGCACGTGCTTCTAGTAGGCTTAATCTCACTAATGAGGGCTAGTGGGCAGCTCGTGAGATCAGGTGACCGCAACTTTAGGGGCAATGCTTCAGCCATGACGAACAAGCCTTAAGGGTGGGCTAGCTACGTAGATCGTGTGGCTCTGCAAACGACGTAGTCCGTATACTCAATTTAGCATTGAGTGCGAGGTAAGAGAGTGCTTTGGACGTATGAAAATGGAGGATTACCGGACAAGAGTTATGGGGGATGGGGAAATGTTACCCAAAATGGACAGCTCGAAGTTCCGGTAAAAGGAAGGAAAGCGTGACGGAACAGGGTTAGCGGCACAAGATGACCCACCAAAGGAGATCTCAAGGGACTAAACCCAATAGGAAATAGACTAGCCGGCAGCTATCCACGGCCGCCACATCTTGAACCTATTCCTAATACGGTATGCTCGATGTTAAGTTGTTCCACATGGAGATGCCCGAAGCCCTCAAATTGTCATAGAATGCCTCACCCATCATCTATATTCGAGTGCACAGCCCGAACACATTGCAATCTTTTCATCATATACCTGCGCCACCACGGGAGACCGCTCTCTTATTTTACCCCGGGACGTTGGCTTCATTTATTTATCTTCGCATCGTTATATCCTATCCTTCTAATACATTCTATCGGATCATACCAGTTTTCAAGGGCCTTCAATACCTGCCCTAACCTTACAATCTAGATTAAAGTCGCCCCGCAAAATAGCCATCTGCCCGCCGTATTCGCCGCTCCGGCCCACCACAATCCAAGATGACGTTTCGCTATGAAGATGGTATCGCATTGTTGCAGCTCATCGCCTTCGTGCCCTGCCTCTTCCTCGCCATTCTTTTGTGTTATCAGCAAGGTATGAAGGCCGTAGCCTCATGCTGGAGATTTCTCATTATCCTCGCCTGTCTCCGAATCGCCGGCGCTGTATGTCAGCTCATCAGCATCACTGACGACTCGATCGATGTGATCACCACAAAAATCACATGCGACTTGTTGGGCATCGCGCCGCTAACCCTGGCTGCCGTGGGTTTGCTGCAAAGAGTGTAAGTCACAACCTGATACCCAATGCGTGACTTGAGACTGACGTGGGCATGTCTTGTTCAGAAATGCCTCGATCAACAAGCTCTCCAAATGGATCTTCATCTTTGTCAGCATCGTCAGCTTGGTCGGTCTGGCCCTTGGTATTGCCGGCGCTATCAAGGCCCTCGACACCTACACCATCCCCGCTATGCTCCAAGCCGCACTGGGCATGTTCGTCGGTTGCTTGGGTCTCCTACTGGCCATTATGGGGTACCTGACCATCTACCGCAACGAGATGCCTCGCAATGAGAGGATCATCCTGTACTCAGTATACGCGTGTGCGCCTCTGCTTATTGTGCGCACCATCTACGGCTGCTTGGGTGACTTCACGAATATCGAGAAGTTCAACCTGTTCGAGCCCAACCCCACGGTCAATCTATGCATGGGCGTCCTCGAGGAAATTTTCCTTATGATTATCTGCCTCGCTGTCGGCTTTTACTGCCCCCCGCCCAAGGAGCCTCAACCTGGTAAGTCGCGTCGTTTTAATGTGATGCGTCATTCTTGTGACGAATACACGCTGACACCTTTTAGAAGAGGCTGCCCGCACGAGGAATTCGGACGAGACCACCATTGTAGAGAAACACTCCTCTGAGCCCAACGATGCCCGCCCTGACACCATGAACAAGGAGAAACTGGCTGAGGAGGGACGCATGGGAACCCCGGTTGCCGAGGCTGCGTAAGGTCTGGCTGTCACTTCACACGTTATAGAGTGCCTATAGCCTTGCTCTGTCGCGGGAGGCGACTTTCGTTGCAACGATGAACTTTGGGATTGGCCCCTGCTGCAAGTCCAGAGATCTGGCGATTTTTTTGATTAATTTGGTATGTTTGTTTTCAGCGTTCATCATCCGTTCATTCCACACAAGCCGCGAGACCTAGATAGAATGCTAGCAGTTGCTAAGTAGCAATTACCCTTCTAGGAATGATTCTGTCTCTCTTTTCCAATCCTTTGAAACAACAATAAAATTTGTCATAGAATGAACAAAGCAGGGTGATCCTGAGTCATGCGACGCATTGCACTGAATACTATTAAAACGCAAGGGCCAGAAGGGTTTCGATCATCGGACAGACAAACAGAACCAAAGTTGTCAGTGTGTAGCCGAGGCGTGCCTCATCGACTTACGGCGCGATTTCTATTTCGAATGCTTGACGGTGCCCCAGCACCCTGAAGATATATCACATCGAGCATTTCGTCAGCTGGCCCAAACTTTCACCTACCGACCGGAAAGGATGTGACCTCGACATCCTTTATGGGTCAGACGGCACTCGATACCTGCTGATAGATCCGGACCGCACACAACCTCTCGACATATTGATTTAATCCAAGCGAATAGTTATGTATATTTAAATACTAGCGTAATAAAGCCTTACGGATATATAATTGTCCCAGTCATATGTCCTATTTAAGGCAGTATCCGGGGTGCAATGTTGAGTGCGCAGCTTATCTGCACTTGGTGTTTGTACGTGCTATTTGCGTCGAGCCATTGATTCCTGACTGGAGACCTTCGTGAATAGAGATGTCTGCGATGATTATTTATTGTGTGACATGATTTCCTTTACAAGAATGGTAGCTGATGGTCGCATTACTTCAGACTCCATCTTCCCCCCCCCCCCCTTCCCTTCGGGCTACGCTGTATGTGGCGGAAGCAACCTCCGTCCACTTTCCCCCTCTCTTTCAAAAATCTCGCGCCTTTCAGACAAACCATATCTAATTAATCTATCGAAAACACCTGGAGATACCCGAAAACCCCACCTAACCGGCCCACACAGCCCGCCATGTCCTATGACAACGCCGCCACCCGCGATGGGTTCACTTCTTCATTCGGCCGGTTCCGCACTAAACGCGGGTGCAATGAACGTGTAGATAGTTCCTCTCTCCGAAGGATGTTTCTACCCAAGCTCAGCCGCGAAGGTCAAAAGATCCTGTGAGACCGCACCGACTTTGTCCGCAGCCAACTACAACACTATGGGGTGCCTTTCGAGGAAGACCAACTATCAGGCAACGGAACGCAGCTGATGAAGAAAGTCCTCCAAGAAGGAAAGTGCGACAAAGTGCCCGTACACATCCTGGCCCTGGAGGAGCAGCTACACCAGGAATGGATTGCTGCAAGTAATATAGAGGTGCTGTCTTCCAACCCCGAGTGGGTGATAAAGAAGTTCTTCATAAGAGCTGGAGAACCAGATCCATACCAGACGAGGACAAGCACTGTCGTCGGGGTTTCCTTTCCTCGATATAGCGAGTATCGTCCAGGGCGCATGCGAGAGGCTGCTGACCAGGTGGCGGGCTTACATCACGACACTGGTGTGGGTCCGGAGACGCAGACAATATTCTTGGGATGGGATATGTCTGCTGTTCGGGAAGCAGCAAAGAAACATGCGAATAATGAAAGGACTGTGATTCAGGCTCGGGAACAGAGGAGAGAAAACGAACGCGCGAAAATACATGCCGACTACCTTGCGACTCTCGGACGGATGAAGGGCGCTGCGGCAAGGAATAAATCGCCGGTAGGAAGTTATATCGTTGACTGTCAGGAGATCGAGAATGGATGACCAAGTCTAGCAAGGGACATGGTACTTGAAATTGTGAACACGGAACAAAAGGGGAAGTTTCACGCTACATTCAATTTTGGTGTAGTGATAGGCATTATGGTCATATATGAGGAGCATATTACTGAGACCGACGAAGAGGAGATTGGCGACGATCATGAAAAAATTGGAAAAGGAACTAAGAGAAAGACAATCGCCCAGAAACATAGCAAGCCGTCGAAGAAAGCGAAAGCAGAGAAGATAAGCGAACCCTACACGTACCTGTTAAAGCTCAGATGCCGTGAAACTGGAGAAGGTCAGATCTTTTTCAAACCAGAGTACGGCACTATCAAGTTTAGGGATGAATAATTCGCCGCCTTCACTTCAATGGCTGTGTTTCCCTTGTTGGCTCTGGGATAACTTTTACTGCACGGAAGGTGTCTGATGATCCATGTCCAAGTGGTGAGAAATGGGAGAACTATTCAGAGGCTGCATATGAATACGCACGAGTTAGTAGATGGCATTGAGCATAGCCTTCTGGGATGAGCATTGAGAAAATGATAGGTTACGTAGTATGTACGGCAATAGCCCCTAATCTGATAAACTGAACGTCACATTTATATAGTATCTGTATCCATCTACCTCAACGTCTGACGCCTCGCGGTCCATTAGAGAAGGTGTTTACAACTAAATTTATAAGAAGAGAGAGCTTCCAGATTTGCCTGTATGACGAGGTTGAGCTTCCACTCGTTAACAGTAGATACCCTTAAGTAGTTGGGCTTGGAGGAAGGGACATGTTCGCTCCGCTGCAGTAGTAGTCTCCACCACAGTAGAGAGGAAATATAGTCGATATTAATGCTCGCCTGGTTGAATACATTGACTCTATACAGGATATAGCGTTAAAGATATTTTCTTGGGCGCATTGACGGTGCTATGTATGTCCAATGGGTATCTTAGTATCTGAACCAATGACTGTACGTCTCAGATCTTTGTCGACAACGTATACACTGTTATTGGCCCCATCCTTGGTACGTGCCTGTACATTTATGGATAGATTAAAAGTTAGAAACGAAGAAGGTTTTAAGGATGCCCTGACTTCGTATGGACGTATACGAAGTGTTATTATCACCAGTGCTACTATCAAGCATCAATCTCCACATATATATACAACCCCCGCTTTAAATATTAGCAGCATTAGCAGAGCTATATGAACAATGTGTCCATCGTTGAAGAAACCTCAGGTTTTGTTCAACTCCGAGTCCCTTTTCAAGTCCTACTTGGGGCGCTCTTAGAATAGCTCCTTGTTTAGAAACTCTAGGTCGACATGAGCACCCAATGCCTCTAGCTACGTTCCCGTGCGAACCCACTCGATGGACATCCCTGGACCCTACTACTCATCCTACACCAATTTCGTCGCGTCTTGCTTTCTGTGGTGGGTCCTTAATATCGCTGGCCGACGGAATCCAGGGAGCAGCCGGGTAGAGTTAAGATAGCCAGACACCATCCAGCGTAGCCATCCGCAGCAGACTATTCATATCCTCCACATTCACCCCACGTAGCCCCACGATGCAAAAATAGAGTCATGCCCGTGTAAAAAGAAAGAAAGAACAAAAACATACAACAGAAGGGATTCGCTGGTGGTCACCCACCCAACTACTAACCTCCCGGCGTGTGGCTTAAGTACGGCTGAGCGGACGGGAAGCCCTGTTTTCCACACCCTATGGTCGTATGTGGCAGATTATAACAAGAATACCATTCATAAGGGCAGTTTGTAAGTAATTGTGCGAATGAAAAGGAAAGTCAAATCAAGGTTGGCGTGTACTAGACTTTGTTGCGGGTGATGAGGTTGGTCTATCTGCAGAGATGTCACCGCCCTGACTTAACCTGCTTGGCAAGCAAGGGCAGCAATAAGAACTATCATATACTAATTCGGTCGCCTAGCCATTCTAATAGTGTATAATGTGATTTTCTGCTTTCACTTTGTGTTAATTTTTGGGCAGAGTGGCGTGTTACTAACTAGACTACTCTTCTAGGGCTGGGTATTCGGCCATCTGAGCGCAAATTAGCCAGAAATTAGAAGACCTCTTCTTTACCCCCTTGCAAAATCTTCACTCTACTTTCATGCCAATCCTCTTAAATCGGATCTTATGCCCTCTCTCCAACGGCGTATACCGCGCAGCAAGCACCACCAAGCACCGTACCAAATAAGCATATTCGATCGCGATCTGAACAGTCGGATTTTGTTGGGATGTAAGAGGTTGCTAGCTTTGCTCGGTGAATAGGAATCTCTTGAGACACTGCATGTTGGCTTCGAGATTATGGTATCCGCTCTTCTGGACTCGTTGGTGTGCAACGTGGGTATTGCGTTTCCGGGCGAGAAGGCACTGTACAATATCAGGGACCAAGTCGTTAATGATTAAACGAGAGAGCCTGGAAGATTTACCCAAGCCCTAACACTTAGTCATCCACTGACCTAAGGTATTGACTGCAGACATTAGTGTTCACAAAATAACGGAGCACATGCTCTGTGATAGCATGGTTGCGTCTCACTCAGCTAACAGCTTCATACCCCATCAATGCTCGGACAAGGATGAAAGGTCTAAAACGATGTCAGTGCACACGGCGCCTTCCTATTGACGATTTTTGGGATAATTCGGGTCAGTCCATCCATGACTTTCCTAGTTTATAGCGCGAGATTGTACATGATCTTCTGATAATTTCTCTAACCCATGATGGGTACTATCGATATTTTATCGCAGCGGAATTCAAGAGACTCGGATAAGGGGGAAGCCACTTACAAGGGCATTGAAAATATGCATGATAGGATATGGTGAGCTCTTGATATGTCATATCTCCTAGTGCTCAATTCCAGCCTACTACCTCTCTCGCCCGATTGCTCACCTTTTCAGATTCACAATTTTGTAGCACCACTACCCTTAAAGTGCATAAATCTTCATTTTAGGTCAACATCATACCTTTTCAGCATGGCTCAGGAATAGGATCATTCTTCAGCAATAATTCAATCTCTTAGGCCACAGGTTCTGAGCATGAGTGAGTCTCAAATGCGACGAACAGCCCATCATTGTTTTTAAAAGATCGTTGATCCTCAGTAACATTCCTTGTATGCGGCATGTCCACGCACAGTCTATTAGAAAGAGCAAAAAATCCCACCTCCGTAGCTGTTCCCAGTTTAAGATTCAATGTGCCCCCGCACAACCACGTTGGCATCTCCACGGGGTTACGATCATCTTCAAACTTCGCGTGGAATCCAAGAGCATATCGGAGACGCTCTCCCATTTCCGTGGCAAGATAATCCAGTCCCTGAATGCATAATGTTTTCAATACATGGGATATCGAGGTCAATCCATAGCCAGTATGCTCTAAGTCCCGGCAGGTCTCTCGATGTTGTCCATTATCACTGAACTATTACAATCTTATTTCCTTCTATTATTTATAGAAGCTGTAGATCTTCTATTCTATGTAATAAAAAACATTGAGAACTATAGTAAAAATCCTGCGTAATTTTATATAAAAGAGCCTGGATTTACAACATGTTAAGATATATTCTATATCAAAAATAATAAAATAATAAAAAAATGAAAAATATATGTAAACAGATTTAAAGCAAAACAATAAGGAGATAATAGTCATATTAGCTATCTAGACATACGTAGTAAAATAATGTGAGAGTGCTTTGTATGTGCGGCCTGAGCGCCAGGCGCGTGACTAAGCCTACATGAATGCCCCAACATCTATTATCCCCGATATAGTTAGCTTAGGCTTCTCTTTTACTGGACTACCACCTCTCAAATGAAATCAACTCTCCTGACCGCTAGGATCCGCCCATGTATCGCTCAGATGAAGATCCAGATAGACACTCATACCAGCCGCCTTGACCCGCTTGGCCAGCTCCAAGTTGGAATCCAAATTGTAAATGTCATTACTAGGATTGACCCACAAACGCTGGCGAACAGGATTGATGCCGGCTTCAGCGAGGATAGTCTCGAGTGCTTGGGTTTGATCTCTTAGATTCTTGTAGCTATAAAACCTTCTAGCTTCAAAAGAGAAGAAATATCCGCCTCGCGATACGTGAGCGCGGCATGGAATAGAATCGGCAGCGCCGCCGGCAGCAGAGGAACGAACATAGCGAAAGAACTGGGTGGAGAGTTCAATCTGGCAAAATATCAGACAGGCGCACGTGGGAGATTGCCGCTCACGCGGGCATTCATAGTCTTCCAGAGGGCAGGCAGGGGAGGCGTGAATGGGAAGATGGCAGCCATGGCCGTTTCCGACGACCAGCCCGGGCACGGAGCTTAGGCCGTAAAGAACCGGTCTGCGCATCTTAGCGTACCCCTTAGCTCGCTGGGATTCTCCACGCATTAATCTATACTAAACGAAATATGAGTCGAATGGGATTCGAAAAGACTCAACGTGTCCACTTTCATTTGTGGAGGACTAGAATGAGAGGCCGGTGCGAGATGACCGGTGGCATGCTGGCGGTCTTAGTAGGCGGCATTGCAATGGACGCAGGCAAAAGTACAGACACGCTCGGCAATATATGGAGGATATAGTGTCCAAAAGGATCCCGACCATTTATGACGTGTTTCCAATTGGCTGGGTTCGGGAATTGAGACTGCCGGAGAGGGCTCTCAAGGCTTACGCAAAAACCTGGTTTGAAAAGGCTAGAGCCCACAACAGCCCGTGGAGATAGTAGTGGTTATCGGGTATGCGGCAGTTATAGTGCACCTGCATGTCTCTCTGTTCGATCAGTTAGAGGCCTCAGCCCTATGGAAAGACCCACTGCAATAAGGCTACTGCATTCAAATTTTGCCTCAGAAGTGGGTCCCACGGGAGGGTATGTCGCCTGTGGGAAAGCTTCTTTTGTTGAGGAAAAGAGGTAGGGACTTCTCCTTAAGCAAGATTCGTAGAGGTCGGATTGAGAAGCGGCAATTTTTGTATCAAAAATTACGCGATTCAACTATCCGGGAAATATTAGTGTATCTCTCTGAAGGCCAATAAGCTGAAATGAAACACATACGCGACGTCCAGCCCTATCGGCTAGGTATGAAAGTTCGTTCTCAACGAGGACCTGTCAGGCTTCCTAGTGGCTAAATGAATGAGGACCTTGGAGACACTTCCGACTTAGCACCATAGAAGTGAATTCAGAGGTCGCGTCCCAAACATTTATAAGAATTGAATTCGCTGTAGTTGAGAGCTATCAAGCATTATAATATTCCGTGGACTATTCTAACCATGAAATACTTCAATATCCACATTATCTGCGCTTCAGTGGCCTTCGGCCTCTTGGGCTCAGCCAAGGGTTTGGATGAAAGTATTATCGCAACGGTTGTTGACCTGCCATCTTTCATCAAGGAATACCAGCTTCATGCAAGTTACCTTAGTGCTGCAGCAAGAGCAAGCAGGTTATCCAATGTCACTTCCATGATGCACCTTGGCAGCTTGCCGGGGGGCCTTTTAGCTTTTTTCTCAACTCACTGGGTTGGCCCACTCTGGACCATGCGGCAGTTATGCCTGCTTTGGGCCATCGGCGTGGTTGTTTTCATTACATCGGCTGGCAATATGGGTCAACTCATTGCTGGTCGGTTCATCATGGGTATGGGTGTCGGCCAGGCTGGTGTGGTTGGACCGATTTACCTAGCCGAAGTGGCACCAACGGCTTCTCGAGGTCTATTGGTCGGTCTCTATGCGTCATCAGAATATGTCGGTGTTTTAATCGGGGTATGTCAGTGTCTGAAATCAACTGAGGAATATTCGTTCGCTAATTTCATATTTTGATGAACATAGTACTTTTCTGGTTGGGGAGCCTCGCTTCATATATCCGGCGATAGCAACACGCAATGGATCCTACCAGAAAGCATCCATATCATGGTGGCCGGGGTGTTACTACTTTTCTCAATTGGCTGCGTTGAGAGTCCTAGATATTTGGTCTACAGTGGTCACGTATCAAGGGCTACAATAACTCTTGCTAAGCTGCGGGGTTTTAGCCCAGAGGATCCCCGTATTATTGAAGAGGTACAAAGTATAAAGCGTGAGGTTTCCTCAAAGAAAACCACGGGCAAGTCCAAGTGGTCCTTTGTAGGACAATGGAAAGCACTTTTTGCAAGAGCCAATCTCCACCGATGGATGTTTCTTTTGTCTGCGCAACTTCTCAGTCAATGGTCCGGAACAAATGCTATCACGAGTGGGTTCATTACTCCTACCCCCTTACTCCTCTAAGCATAAGGCTGACATCAGTGGCATAGCTTACGCACCTAAATTCTTCGCGCTATTGAATGTGGCCGGGAATTCCGAAAAACTGTTCAAAACAGCTATTTTCGGAGTAGTAAAACTCGTCTCTGCGCTTATTAGCGCATTCTTATTTGTTGATCGCTTCGGGAGAAAACGCACCCTCTTAGGAGGAATAGTACTTCAGCTCCTCGCTTTGCTCTATATTGCAATCTTCATGACAGCTTGGGATGCAGCTGGCAAGTCAGACTCAAGTAATGCGCTTAGAGCAGCTGCCGGTTCCGTGGCTGCTCTCTACGTTACAGGAGTCGGCTATGCCTTCGGATGGAATTGCATCCAATATCTGATTAATGCCGAGATTCTTCCTTCAGAAGTTCGTACACTGGGGACAAGCCTCCTCATGTGTGTTCATTATGCCAATAAGTTCGCACTGGTGAAGGTAAGCTTACTACATTTCACTATGATTGAGCTGTTGTTGACGAGGCTAATCGATAACCAGGCCCTACCAAGTATGATGCTTGATGATGCTTTGCAGCCCAAGGGGACATTTTGGTTCTTCTTTGCTGTTGCATCAATAGGTCTTGTATGGGGCATTGTCTGGCTGCCAGAAACTTCACAGAAAAGCTTGGAGGAAACAAGCATTGCATTGGAGAAGCAGTCGACAAAGAATCCGTGACGAGTTCAAAATATACTATTTGCATAGAAGCGTCCAGAGTGACAGTAATACGAGCCTGGCTTGTATGTTGTACCGATCTCTTGTCCAGCATCATTCTACCTTACCGACATGTTGTGCTTTTGTTGAATTCACGGATTATATTGGTTTTCAGTCTTTACTTGATGTAGTTTAGCCAGAAACCTTCTATCAAGGCACGCGCGCTACAGCGAAAGCAAGCAAGCAAACAAAATGAAGCAGAAGAATGCTGCAAAAGAGGGTGGTTATATTAAGTATTTAGAGTATATAGTAGAACAAGCATATAATGATACTCTATATAGCAGCCTGGGTATTAATCATATAACTGAATTTATATGAATATATTGACACAGTTACACATGTGACAGCCCCTTGGATGAAAAATATCTTTAGGTATATGTATTATATATTTTTCGAACCCTAGGATTACTTTCCTGTCCCTGTTAGTTTAGCTTCACTGGTATATATACTATTAAACTGGATTAAGAAAGTATCAGATCAATAATCATCTAAAAAAAACTAATTTTGAATGGTAGAAGAGAAGTAGAGCAATTAACAGTGAGGGATTCAACAACAGGGACGTGCGACTTTTGAAGGAGTTAAATCAAAGTGCTGCCGACGGGATGACCGCCCATTTGGATTGGAATGAACATCACAAATGTAGAATCTACATTGCCGCCACTATGAAAATGTGACTCTTATCATTACTTATCAGCTGAGAGAGTTATTGCATCTGAACATCCCAGCAGGCTATTTTCCTGTAAACAAAATCCGTCTTTCTAATGTGTTGTGGGGTAACATGTAGGTAGTCACATTATCGCCTCCAAATTCTTTCCCAATTTGTATGTATCAGAAAGCCATGTCATTATCCGTAGTAGCCATCGGTTATCCAGCGTCGTGTTGGGTATTAATTCCTAAAGCGTGAATGAGATCATATTCTAAACACGCTGGGCCATCAAGACCCCAGAATAGTTTCCATCGACTACCTGTAACTAACTTCTAAATTTCGAACATTCCCGGCCTTTGTCGATGATAAATGCATTGTTGCAAACATGTATCTGTATGGTAGGTACGCCAAGACTTCCTTACAACTTGATTTATTGTATAGACACCATATATTTTCCTAAACGTAATAGATAGTATTTATGTCGTCATCCATCTCTTGCAGCTGAAGAAAGTACATACCACACATCCACTGCCTGCTTTCCATGAGAGTTATTTACATGATAGTTCACGTCGGCGTATTCGCAATATCACCACCCCGGCATTCTGGGGGAAGGATAAGGGGCTTTGGACGCAGGTAGCTACAGTGACCTCAGTGACCTTGTTGACGATGGGCACGGGGGGCATAAGTGCAGCATACGACATTAGAAAGTTAAAAATTGACCCAGAGAGTACAGCGGATGTACATAGAAACATAACATTCGCGACAGCCAGGCTTTCAGGTAGCCCATTCATATCAGAATCAAATACAACTTCTGTTGATTACGGAGTGTAATATTTGTATGTTCCAGTAGTCATATTCAATCGCTGTGGGATTTGCATGCCGCTAGCAAACAGACTGAGTAGCCGCGCTCCCCAACACTGCAATCAGGTATAGTTCGCGCAGACACCGTTATTGGTCTAGATAAACTATCTGAGCTACCTGTAGGAATCTATACCACTATACATACTGTAGAGCACAGTGGACTATGGGCTGGGTATGTGTGGGAGTTCATTCTCTGGCCCACTATCCTACACGACAATCAGTCTACCTAGTGGCAGGATCATGTTCTAAGCGAGCTCGGCTTTGAACAGGGGGATTGTATCAACACGAAGGATGATCTCATGCGCCGGGTACCCGGTGGCAACGACTCCTCAGCTCTCCTTCCACTGCCTGACTACTCCATTCCGAACACTGGTTCTGAGGAGCTAGCAACTGTCCTATTTATGACTGTACCTGACTCCTCAGACCCCTTTGCTGCTGAACTTGCCTCCATTATGCGCTCACTCCTTGAGAATCCTCGGGAAGTCACTGGGGGGTATTTACCTACAGGCCCATGTTGATTCCAAGGGATCCGGCGCAGCCACACAAGTGATCCAGACAAGGCTACCGGGGAACTACATCACCATTTGTGTTCGTCTGATGCACTCACCGTCGCGCGGGACCTGGCATATATCATCTGCCAACCCTGTCGACAAACCCATCATCGACCCAGTTACCTGACCTGGAGATGCTCGCGCGAGACACCCGCTTCATTGACGTGAATGCCGGATCACAACCGCTCGCATTCATGCTAAACCGTGCGGCAACCGTATCCTGGGCTCGCTTGATGCACAGGTACTGCGGGTTATGGATCCTAGGGTTATCCCCATTGTTCCGATGGGGAATACTCAGAGCGCAGGCAGAAAATCTAGCGAATTCCAGACCCACGAAAGTTCTTCATCGCGAGTCTCTAAGATGAATTGCAAGATATATAGATGACTATGGTAAAGTGCATAGTGAAACAAGGTTAATCCGTCGGTGTCCACCAACAATATATCATGGCCTTCATTCATGAGCTTGCGGACCACTTCAAAGTTCCCTGCTTTGCTGGCAAGGCGGAGACACGTTGGAAGAGATCCATTGAGTTGTGAACTATCAGCCCCCTTTTCGATAAGTTTGTGTAAGATAGATAGTTTCTAAGCCGCATGTTTATATTAGCATCTTTTCGCTTCCTGGGCTGTAGGAATATTACTGGGATCTCCATAAATGCACAGGCCATCATCACCAACCAGGAGGATCCTCTGTCCGGGATCATGTCCAACATAAGCAAGCCATCGAGTCCAATTCTCAAAACCGGATTTTAACTGCACCCTAGGTTTCATCCATTCAACTCTAAACTTCGCAATTTAGTTCTGGCCCACTCCGTCATGTATCTTTCAAACATTTGCATGCATTATCCAAAATCCTACGCTTCCTTGAAGGGACAGGTTCTTCAGCTTGGTTGACGCTCTCCGCCGGTCCAACGTACGTCCGATAGTAGGACTGGGTGGCTCTCTTTCCATCTCGTTTTCCACAGTGATCCATTGGTTTTGCGAGCTCCTCGGCTGTGTGAGAGCAGTGTATGCTGTATTCATGCTCTCCGTTGCGGACAGGGAACACCTATCATTGACATTTTCTGCAGGTAAGTCCAAATTACTTCTTCACCGCGCTAACGCTCAGACCACGGTCTGGAACGCTCACAAGGCGTTGCTGGGGCGCAAGTGTGACCAGATGACACCTCGCCAAGCCCGAAATAAGGAGAACCACTTGGATGGTAGTAGACACGGGATTCACAAAAGCAAAGAACGGATAAGAACAAAAAAAAGGGGGGAAAGAAAAGACTATACAGAAAAAGAGAAATGTTGGAGGCCGATTTGTGAGGTCCACGGAGATCAAGGGTGTGGCATCCCATTCTACAGACTACTTTTCGCGGCAAAAAGAGTGTAGCTAAAACTTTGGCTACGCCAGCGCGACCTGCCATTGGCCTGTGCCCGTATGACAGTAGGGAACTTTGAGACTCCAGCCTCACGTTTGAGGAGGGTGAGTCCTCCACCAACTGCCTGCTTTAGTGCCACTAATGGCAAGTTACAGGAAATACGCAGCAGCACCCTCATGAGATTCACACACTCCTACCACGCCTCGAGATTTGGCTCACAATCTTACAGCTTCCTCCCATCAATGGATCTCCCTGGGATTGATTCTTTTCAGGAAGGCGATATTCAGGATAATTTAGCCACCGATGTTGCACATCGTGTAGTTCAACAAATATCGTTAGGTAGTGGACCCTTGAGCCTACAATCAAGCAAGCCTTCTTAGATTCCAAGTAGGAAGGAGACCTTCTCTTCTCCTCTTTCTCAGCTCTCAAAGCTCTCCACAGAAAATAACAGAACATTGTGAGAAGTTGTATCATGGAGCTTCTAGATTATTCCCAACATCCTACCTAAGCTCCCCCTCTAACCATTGTGTCATCGACAGAGCAAACAGGCACGTATTTTCTACATCTCCGGCTCTCGCGTCAACCTTATAAGTCCACATACCGGTCCTCAAAAACATTGTGAGAATCTGAAAATCTAGTAGAATATCACTGCGCCCGCTACTGGGCATGTAATCAACCTGAACCCCACGGGCGTTACGAATAGTGAGGTGTGCTAGATCATTAAAGGGCGTAGTCCTCAATGGCCCTGTAGTGGAGTGTTCATAGTCATGACTACCATCGGGGTAGACAGCAGAGGCGCTCACTTTGAGGGTCGCATTAACCAGGCCCTCGTCAGGAAGTGCCAGCTCCTTCTTCTTGGATTCAGGCAGGTAACCGCGCAGGTAGATGAAGAAGACACGGTCGCTTCATCATGATGTTAACATCAAAATATTATTATCAAGATTAAGCTGCACTTCAAGGATAGGGACGATCTTACGCGATAATGGGTGTCGGGGCAATCTCAAGGAATTCAATCTTGAATATCTGGTCATCCTTAGGCACGGTGTCGTAGATGGCATTGTTGTGGCCGGGGACCATGTTGTCTTGTTGGGCCATAATATCCTCGCTGACAAGCGATTCTTGCTGTGTGGGGTTGGTCTCAGCAAGAGCAGCGAGTGCAGCGGCGCAAAGAAACAAAATTTGCCGGAGAATTGATTCCATCGCGTGATAGTGCTTGTGTATTTTAAGACAGCTCAGGGTGAGTTTAGCAATGAGGGACGAGAGGTGTTGGCTTTACGTCACTTAAATGCCTCCCGATTTAGGTAAACTAGGGCCCAACCACAGCGCTCCGGAATCCGGATCGTTCAGATGTCTAACGTCGGTCGGATAAAGATTATAGTAGTTATACCTAATCTTGGATCCAGTTCCAGGTTCTGGAGAAGTTAATTTTCTCTAGACTTTCTTTGTATGGGTGCCTCCGGATAAAGTGGGCGCTCGCAACGGGATTTAAACCTGTAGTCTCTCAATGCTAAGAAGAGAGTTTTTCATCTCTTCTTGTACAAGTATGGCCTTCTTGGTGATGTTCTACCACTGCGCCACTGCAGGCTCTAAGGGGTCGGTCACCTCGTCCCTTGACGCTTCCTCTAAGGTTCTGTACACCTTAAGGGAAGGGAGGCGAGTCGATCCGGGTCATGCGTGTCCGTGTAGCGGCAACCTTGGGACTTATCATTTGAGCCATAGGGTCTCAGTGTTTCACGTAACTTGTAGGGAGGATGGAGTGCATTCGGTTCTGACTTCCCCAGAGTAGCTCTGTAGGTTGAGATGGCTGTCAACCGTCAAGGCCACCGCATGAAATTCCCCCTCAGGGTCTTCCTCCGTTGAACGTGACATTGCATGTAGCTATTTTACTAAGTATGTATTTACAGCGTAGACGTTCCCTGGCAGACATTTTATCTGGTCCAGCAAAATGGCGCATAGGAGATGTAACATTCTATTCCAAGCAATTTAAGCGCTAGGGTCGCCGTTTTAGAGGCACCCACCCGCCTATTGACCGCACACAAGCCACACGCTGGAAGTTTAGTACTTGGGTGAGTGACCACCAGGTCTCACTTGTGCATTCGAAGGTTTCTGTGGGGTGGGGGTATGCTGTGCTGTGCTGTCTACCCGGCGACACCTGTATACGGACCCCTAGACAGGAACTACCCCTCCCCTTGTCTGCGGCTTCAACAGCCCCAACATAACCTGTCTCGACCTCCAAGCTGCCCACTCATCCACGGATCTCGTCTCCTCCTCTTCTCCCTCAGTCAGCACCGGTATCTTCCCTCCACGGATCCTCCGCATGGATGCTGACTTCGCCGGCCTGACCAAATACGCCACACTCCGTCTCGGTACGAATGCCTGTTCTCCGGGTGCAGCTAAAACCCTATGCAAGGAACTCCGTAGCAGCTGACCGGTCCACTCCACCAGAACATCACCAATATTGACCAGCGCACAGCCCGGCACGGGTCGAACGAAACGCCAATTCTCCATCTTATTCTCGAGCCCCGCGGGGAGGATCTGCAGACCTCCAATAACTTGGAATAACAGCGTCGTTGTCCCAATATCTGTGTGTCCGCCTAACGAGATGCGATCTTGATTCGCTTCACCGGATGCGTGGGGAGGACTGCATAACAAGCGGACAGAGGTCTCGGACTCCTGATCTAGCGGACTGAGTTTGCTCAGTGTACCGCGTTCGAGACCGAGATGGTCATCCAGCGTTTTCAGAATCACGTCTAAAGTTGATGAAGCGTGGCGGATGAAGTTCTGGATCTGGGGGCGATGTGCCTCGATCGGGGGTGCGTTGGTGCGGGGAGCACGATTACCCAGGATATCGTCCTGGTTAATGTTGTAGAGGTGCATGTGGTCGAGCTTGCCATCGTCGGTTTTGAGCGCTCCCATGCGCTTATAGCCTGTAAGGTCTCTGGGCGCGTTGTAAGCGTATTGGTCGAGTGTTGTCTGGTCGAGGGAGAAGAGCTCAATGTCAAGATCGAACATGGTTTCTGCATCATGGAGGAGGGTCCTGCCTTCTGCGGAGTCGTGTAAGTCGATTAGGAAGAATCCCCATTCGCGGCAGGCGGCAAATAACATCTCTCCTTCGGTTGGGTTGCCGGATTGTAGGTCCGAAAATGAGAGAATGGGAAGGTCGATGGTCGGCGTGTCAGCGGGGAAGGGGGGAGCTTGGGCGAAGTAGCGAGTGGTTGGCATTGCTGGAGTGGATGTGTCTTTTGTGATGTTTATATAAAGAAGTCGGCTTTTGGTTAGGATCCGTTGGGGATGGTGGGATACATATAATATATTCACGGCTACAGGGAGATGAGGATGAAGATGTGGGGTGATACTTCTCGGTGGTCGCGGCGAGACAAATGTGAGGGAAGAGACTGGCCTACTTATCCTGTTAGCCATGGAATGACAGCCTTGTGTACATGTTTAGTGCTTATTGTCAGCGTCGATCGCAGCGTACTAGTGCTTACGCATTCGTCTCTCCCGCGTGAGCACTGGTGAGAATTAAATCGACACATGCGATGACAAGTAAGTACTCGGCAAAATGCTATGACAATGAATCATAAGACCAGCAGAGATCGACCAATACCAAGGTGGGGAGACTTCCGTAATAGAATAAATTCCTTACATCCAGTCGTACTTTTACTCAATCAGCACCTGCCCCTCGAACTTCGATTACACGCATCTGAGATAATAGAACGCTTTCATTATATAAAACCAACTACTTCCGCCAAGCTGTCCCTGATTTGAATTCTGCTTCAGCCTCACTGCATGCTTTGCGCATATTACACCCAAACGACAACATGGGCAGTCATTCAATGAGAAAGAAGATCTGAGTAAAATGCATGACTGTTTGTTGGCTTTCATTTACAATACTCTAGTCTCCATACTATTGTTCATCCATTTACCATCCCGAATATTATCAGTTCAATACCCCTCTCTACTTCATATGTATTAATAGCAATTTCTGCGTCCACGCCTTCCTTGATATTCATGCAGTATCTACATTATAATCATGATATGTATATAGAAAAGAGAAGGTTCAGTATGAGACAAAGCACATAGTCGAATGTAGTTTACGCAACTAGCATAATGCTCTAGGCAGTAATATCACGAGCAGAGACAACCGTCGCGAAAGCATCTTCCAGCTCACTCAACGCCACATCCTTCAGAACTGCAGCCTCCACACCAGGAATATTCCGATCGCCCACCGCATCACGCACAACTACAACCTCGTAACCAAGTTCATTGCCAGCTCTGGCAGTCGTAGAGACACACACGTGCGCCATATAGCCGACCAGCACGATCTTCTTTCCAACAGCTCCGAGACTGCCCAAGTACTCGTGCAATTCCGTCTGGGCAAAAGAACTAGGGAAGTTCTTGCTGATGACCTTCTCCCCAGGCACAGGGGTGAGTTCGTCGAACTCATTTTCTAGGTGCGTGTTCGGAGTGAAGACGGGAGCGCCTGGTGGGGTCTGGTGAACAACATGGACGATGTTGCTGCCGTTGTGAGTACCGTTGGTGCGATACTTAGTCAGAAGGTCTGAAATTACTTTGCGGCTGTCGGAGACGCCCTCGATCTGGAGGTGGCCGCAAGCGTATTCATTTTGGGCATCAATGATGATCAGGGTTGAGTCTTGGGTTGAAGCGGTTGAGGGAGGAGCACCAAGGAGTTGGCGGAGAGATTTTGCTGGGGCGGGTGAAGACATTGTGTTAAATAGTAACCAGGGTTGTGGATAGAAAGTATTGGCTGACGAGTAATGCTGGTCTTGTGAAGAGTAGGATATCGTGTCTGATGTGTGAGACAGAAAGAGGATCTGAACAGACAACGCAAACCTACTTATAGACAAAGACGCCTATTATATTACTCAGTATTCCGCACTTCGAGAGGCGGGGTAACTAGATGAGAATGATGTCTTATTTGGAGCCATGACCGACTCAAATAGCCCACGAGCTGACTGTGGCGAATAAGGTCATGCTATTCTTCGTCTCTACTTCTTGGCGGAATATACTTCCGTTTTAGGTTAGACCAAATGCACTGGGTCAGCGGATTTAGTTTTGTAAAATTGCTCCTGCAGATGCATCATCGATGTTTTCTGTTGATGCTGTCGGTAGGAAAAATGGATGGAAATTATGGGATGGAGTCAATTTTGAGAGCCAGATGATCCACCTTGTTGAATTCTCAAAGCTCGAGATTCTCTTAAATAGTGCTACTTGCTGCAATAATCTCTCGTAGTATTACGTTGATAGATCTGAGAAACGTTTGCATGGCTACTTAATAGCATATGATCCTATTTGTCTATATAATAATCAGAAATACACTCATAACGATAAGAAATTTCTCCAAAATTTCAGTTACCATTTTTTGATCAATTGAAAATGCGTTGTATACTATCTACCAGCCACTGTCCTTCATAACATTTGTGCCGAATGTTAGACACAACTTAGGTAATAGCTGACACATCCTTAACACCCAAATGTTGGATGGAAGTGTTCCGGCGTTGCATTCGCCTCCATCAAGCATCATCCACCTGCACACTGTCCCCACTATTATTTTCGGTCTAGCCTGCATTCACGAGGAAGCTGAGCCGACTAATTGCACCCTATTGATTTGGATGGCTTAGTTAGGATCAATGTTTATTTCTGGTGTAGATTGCCATGAGGGTCAAGCAACGGTCCGTTTGCCAAAACTGCAGATCGAGGAAACTTGGTGTACGTGGGTCATCATTCTACCCCGAAGATAGAGGCTCATTCCATGCATAGTGCGACGGAAAGTCACCTGAGTGTAGCCAGTGTCTACTAACAGGCCGCCAATGTCCGGGGTACCCAGTGAACTGGTCCTTCGTACAGAGCCAATCAAAACCTGCCCAGAGTAGAAGATCCCCATCGAACATATCAAATCGGGATCACAGCCCCCGAGACACTGCAGAACATGAATCATCCTTATCGAACATTGCTTTTCGATCGGTGGAAGAAACTCATTTGCTTCCAACTTTAGGTGCAGGCTACAACTTGCATCGTGCCGAGCAGGTTGACTTCATCATAAGGAGCTACGTGCCTAATGAAGAGTTAGAGCTCCCTGGCATTATCTCCAATGAGCCACGGCCTCGCATATGTGGATCATGGGTCGAAGTTCTTCCCAGTCTGAGCGAAAACTCTGACTCCAATATCATAATGGCTGCCTCAAAAGCTTTATCCACCTCGCTTATGTCCCGGGGATTTCCAGAAAGAGTCTCAAGTGTCGACACCACGCACAACTACCTTAACGCACTCAAATTGATGCGAAAAGAGCTCAGCACGGCGAATATGTCGTCAGATCGAGAGCTACTGGCATCAATAATGTGCCTCAGCTTGGCAGAGGTCGGTTCTGCTTTGTGGTATCTGCTTTTAGGGGGCGCTTTGCTTACGCAATTTAGGTTATGTTTCCTGGGCCAAGTGAAGGTTTAAAGATGCATATAGATGCCGTGGCGCAAATCCTTCAGGCAAATGGACCCCAACGTTATCAGACTGGCGTTGCCCACAGGTTATTTATCGGCTTCCGCCCGTTGTTGGTGAGTCGTACATTCCAAAGTCCGGAGTGTTTCTAATGCCTTGTAGATGATAAACGCCATACAATGCCGAACTCCATCTTTTCTGGGGTCGGATAACTGGAAGACGACACCATTTGCAATACTTAGCCCATCCCCAATGCAAAGCCTTCTCGGCCAGGCCGCTGCGCTTCCAACTATTTTGCATACATTGGACAACTTATCTGGTCCAGATGCTTCAGATAAAAACCAATACGAGTGTGAACGCATATTGAACTGCTTTAATGACTTGTTGAACGGGTTAAACAATTGGGAGATATCTGAATCTATCAATGTGACGTCTCCCCTTTACTGGTACCGGGATCAGGATCCAGAAGAAATCCCGTGTATTTGGTTTCCTAGTATCACTATGGCCAACGCAATCACCTATATCTGGGCGTTTCGTATCATATGTCTCTGCGAGATGGAGCGTCTTGCGTCGTCTCTCCCACAGCCGAGCATTGAATACCTGAGGATCTTGAAGGAACAACACATTGAAAGTGTCCAGAAAAGTTCAGAGACACTCATGAGACGGATATGCGAAAGCATGGAGTATCTTCTCCAAGAGGAAATGAAACTCTTCGGTCCTGCTTCTACAATCCTGCCTCTTCAGGTGGCCTACGCGGTAGCCACAATGAATGGTAATCAACACAACGGGCAATTACCCATCCTGAAGAGAATTGTCGAGCGGCTAGTTCTCAAAGGACTTCAATCTTTTCCAATGTTGATATTTGAAAGGAATTCTTTCCTTCACAGATGGGATAGATTATCAAACAGGCAATTGGCATAACTGATGGGTGCGTGTTCATATAGATAGTATAGTAACATGAAATTGCAGCATCTGTGAGTTACATTCACAGACTCGAAGTGGATAACTAATGGAGAATGCTGCAGGTGAATGGATAAAAGAACAAAGAAGTCTGTGATCTCGACTGATAATTCACTGGAAGCCTGTGGCAATACAATTCCCGACCGCGTGGATATAAATTACTCACACCAGCCATACATACCCTCCTACATCCTCAGTCTATCTTTATAAAAGTGGGCAATCACCACCACGAGGAAATTAAATAGCTCCGAAGCAACATCACCTTAGGGAACCAAAGAAACTGCAACTTTAAGACACACAGACTACCTAAACCTCAAACAACCAAACAGAAACCCCACCAAACACCCCAAAATGGACATCATCCACCACCAAAACCACCTCTCCATAACCACTGCCCTATCCTACCTCACTACACCCATCCCATCCTACTCCCTCCGCCGTATCCGAGCCGAATTTCTCGCCGCAACCAAAAACGGCCCAACATCCCCACAATGCGATTTCATCTCATTCCGGCCAGTCAGCCCCGATCACCTCTTCGATATCATCGGCACAATAGTCGGCCCAGTCGGCAGCCTTTACGAAGGAGGCATTTTCCATATCCACATCCGCATCCCACCATTGTATCCTGATCTACCGCCGGTATGCATGTTCATGACGAAGATCTGGCATCCGAACATTGGTCCATACGGGGAAGTCTGTTTGAATATTCTGCAAGATGAGTGGAGCCAGGCACTTTCTGTGAGGACTGTTCTGCTGTCGCTTTCTGCTATGTTGGGGGATCCGGGGATGGGGGTGGAAGGTGGTAATGTTGTGTATGGCTTTGCGAATGAGGACGCGGGGAGCATGTTTTTGGATAATCGGGCGATGTTTGACATGGCTGCGAGAGATTGGACGATGATGTATGCCTGGGGGGCGGACGCCCTAGAGTGATTGTTTGCAGGCGTGTTGTGTGATTGTGTCTGGGGAGGCGTATTATCACATTGGCCAACAACTATGTACACTAGCATCCCCTTATGCAGAAGTGTTCGCTTCAGAAGTACCTTCGTCAGCAATGCCTTTACCAGACTCAGGCTTCTAGTAGAATTTCTTCCCTTTCAATCATATGATAGAGGGAACTTCGTAGCGGGTATCTTCGAATATTGAGTGGATAATAGCTACCGAGACTTTGTACCACTATAGATAGCAACCCTTAACTCGCAACCAACATTTCGTGTCAGATCAAGAACGGAAGAAGTTAGCCTTGCCTATTTTGGATACACAGAACATCTGGAAATCGTCTGTATTTGAAGGCTACGCAAGGCTGATGGACACCGAAAGATGTTTAAAACAATATAATTATAAACCGGTCATGGCGCTCAAGTGATGGATGATGAAATCCAGCCTTCATTCTTCAGAATTTTGAAATCTACCAGCTCCGTGCCTTCCACTTGGCTTGGTGTCTTGCTGTCGCCTACACACACACAGCTTTGGGTCTTGAGGGAGGGATTGTCAAGACCGTTAAGATGCTGATTTAGCTAGCTAGTATTGAGAGCTTTTATGAATGCCCCAGACCTACGATGAGGACCTTTCTATGCTGTTCTCTTCCAGTTGAGTGTCAAAGCCCCTTTAAAACTGATATTAAGTGCAGGAAGCAATTAACATGGCCCGCAGTAAGTATCTGCAAATCAGCCTATGTTCTATGATCAGTTATGGAGAACACCATCATGCCTGAGCAGCGAGTCCCTGGACTTCAGCCGTTTCCAATCCAACCCCATCCCTCTCATAACCGTCCTGGAACCCCAATATCAACTGCCTAGCCTCCTGCTGATTTAGCCCGTACCAAAGCATAACCCAACCTCCATGCTGAAACCTCCCCGTTGCACGAGCCGAAAACCACTCAAGCCTGTTATCATCATCACGAACATTCCACACCAACTGGGGAAAGTCTTTCGTGATCCGAACAAACATATCATCAGCAACAGCACCCGCACCCATAATCCCGCTCGGGAACGTAATCAGATGCGGTGCGCCACCAGAGGCAAAAGCGACGACGGCCAACGGACTCAAAGATGACGGATCGCTGAAATACATCTTGAGCGGACGATTCCTCCGCATCTCATTCACACAAAACCTCACCTCGTCATCCCCAGCTCCCTGCCGTGCCAAAGCATGTACCAGTCTCTCCTCATCCCTATATTCCGCAGAAGTAGTACTATAAATCTTCGTTCCGCGCTCGATCAAAGTCCCTGCACCAGAGGCCGCAAAAACCTCCCGCTGCAAGTCCACGGGATGAACAATCGACACACTAGACGTACCCGGTAACCCCCGCAAAAGTTCTTCCACAGCACGAATCTTCAACCTCGTCCCATACTTCACCCACTCTTGAGCCATGAGGTCCTCAAACTCCTCGCTTAGATTAATTCTCTCGATCCTCTTGCCCGTCACTCCATGCATTAAGCCCCCCTTCTCAGCAAGATAAACCACCTTCTTCGGCTTCAACGCCCTTGCCAGCTCACTAGCCGCAAGGTCCGCATTCACATTAAGCACCTGTCCATCCCTCGTCTCCGCCATAGACGTAAGAATGGGTAGGCAAGACGCCCTCATCGCCGAAACAATCGGCGCCGTCTCCACCTTCGTTATCCGTCCAACAAGACCATATCTCTCCTGATCGAGGTGCTCAGCCTGGAACACACCCGCTGTGATCGGCCGCGCCTCAACCCCGATTTCTTCGAGCGCTTGAACCAATTTAAGGTTCTCGTCGAGGAAGAGTCTCCGAGCAAGAGCTAGGGTTTTGCCATCTGTCACGCGGATTCCCTCTTCGAAGTGTGGTTCCACGCCTGCATCCTCGAGGATCTTGTTGAGCTGGGGTCCGGCCCCGTGCACGATAACGGGGTATAGGCCCATACGACTGAAGAAGGCGAGGCTTGATGCGAGGGTATGGAGGTGGGTATCGAGTATCGCTCCGCCGACCTTGATGACCGCGAAGGGCTGTTGTGTAGGGGACTGGGGTGTGGTGAAGTGGGAGAGGTACTGTGCTGCAGTTCGCTGGGAGTCGATGTGGTTGAGGATTTGAGCAATAGTCGATCTTGTTGAGGAGACCTGATAGTCTATGGACGGCGAATACTGTCGTATTTGGTGGGATGTGTGGCAAAGGGGCTGTTGTTGGCCGAGGAATCTACGAACTGTGGTGTGCCCCAGGAAGGATAAGGCACAGCGGGGGGACGACATTGCAGCGGTAGGTATACCACGAGAAACTAGATATGAGCTGGCTACACCTCAGAAAGAGGGATGGAGTGAGCCATTTTATGTCCTCCAGAAATCCACCTGACAACATGTGTCACCCACGAGTCTACATTTTTGCGTAAGGGACTGGCTGACAACTCTTCTCCGTAATTTATTTCTCGCTGCGACTATTTCAATATCCCTAGAGGCAACAAGATACAACGAGCATTCTACTAGGTCTGGTGTCTCAAATCCCGCACAAGCACGGGCCACACATACTCCACGGAGTACCCCTACTGGACAAATCAGGGCCAAGCCATATTTAAGCCCGCAAAAACGACGTATCACAAAACGCATCCCACCTGCATGAGCACATTACTCTCTCCAATGACATCGGTCACATACAAATTTTGGACCTGTTCATCCTGCAAACACCTCGGGCACGTACACGTGAAAGTGAACAACTCCTGATTTTCTTCCGACGTGCCTGTAGGTCAACGTATTCAGACATGTCAAAGTAAGAGTACAGCACTCTTTGTCTGTATCAAAATCCCCCAGCGCAGTCACCACCATTCGGCCACGGTCGTCGACTTGTTGCGTCACCTACGTGGTAGGATGGATTAGTGAGCGACAGGTCAATTCTGGGACACGAGGTTGGGCGGGATGTGGGATGTGTGCTTACATTGGGCGCGCAAGAGTGATTGGCGAGCGTGATCCGCAAGAACACAGCTGGGCCGTATTGCTTGCCGCGCTGGACGCCCGGAGATTGATGTGGGATGATCTACGCGGGCCGAGGCGAAGATATAGTCCCAGTAAATGAATGATTGATAACCACCTGCCGTTCTCACCATAGTATAAAAAAAGATTTTTTCCGAGACGCTTGTTTCATGAGCGCAGATCAGGTCGAATAGGGTATCGAGATCAAGGGTCTGTGGGAGGAAGAAGGCTTGTAGCAGATACGTTTCAGCCAGAGTGGACCAGTGTTGAATCTGGGATGGGGGCCGTGAGTCACGGTTGTCTCTAAGGGGCTGGATGCTCTTCCAGCCGCTAACGAAGAAATATTGGTACATGGACTGCTGGTGGAGATTGGTTGGCGTGGTGCCCTGAAGCTCGAGGTACCGTGCTGCAAGGAGCAGGACGACGATCCAAGGCATGTAGTAATCGTGAGCATCGGGTTCCTGGGGAAGAACGGGCCTGTACTTCTTCAGCCAGACGCATCCAAAGTCGTGACGCGCTTGGCCTTCGTCTTTGCAAGACTCGTTACAGCAACAGACATCGAGAGACCAGCCAGTCTCGCAGGTGACTCTACTTGCTGCATGCCGGGAAACGCGACGACTGCAGCCCAAGTTGCAGTAAATGAGGTCGTTGCTACTCCCAACGGCCAGGGTTGGCAGCACGGCATAGGAAAGGTCGGCCATGAGGCGCTCTCCGGTGCGGATGGGATCATTTGTACTCAGGGTTCAACCTTAAAGGGGATTATAGGTCTAGGTCTGGTGCGGATGGAGGACAGATGGCTCAAGTCAGTGAGTTTGCAAACTGGGTCTTGCGGATCTATTGACCGACAATACTGTAAATGTCAGTATTGATAAGCCAGTTGTGTTGCAGAGAAGACATTGATCCGATCATTATGGCTGTCCACGTCGTATAGCTAGTCCTCGATGGAGATAAGTGGAGAAAGGCATAAGACATACTCGATGACTTCGTATGTAGCGCCAACCGTTGAAGTGACTCCTTTAACCTCGAAAAGCTAGTAGACTTGGCCGATGGTAGGCATATCTCATCGAAGATGAAAAGAAGAAGTAGATATTTCGTCTTTGTGGAATATTGTAGCCAGCTTTCTGATAATGGCCTCTCATTTCACCTGCCACAAGCACCTATTTATAGCCGCATCTTACACTCGATGATGGTTTTACGGCATCGTATGTCGAGAAAACCTATCTTTAGTAGCAGTTGGGCATCTGGAACACGCAGTCCAAGTTGCCTCCATCAAGCGAGTGGATAATCCCCACCGACGGCGTGCATCCTCTGTTTCCTGATCATCTGTTCGCTAGGAGCCTTTCAGGGTAGCACGCCAACTCCAATGATCCATACAGAATGCTCGTATTATCAACAATATCAACCTTGCGCGGTAGAGTGCGGACAAACGGTACCTGCTGGATGTGGGGCAAGAAGGTATCAGTATTCCCAAGCCCAAAGGTGTGAGCCCTTGGAAGTACAGTGTGACTAAATTGATCGCCTTGGTGCATGACTTCCTCCGCTCGGAGTCTGTAGTACTGTTAATTTGTATGCTATTGCTACTATCTTATGGTGTTCAATTTGAACGCTTGATGAGTGTGAATAATAATGAAACCGAACTATAGTCGACACCGGTTATATATATCTACTATGACCAGCAGTCGTTTTCAAATAGGCCAGGCATGATCATAGTGCTGTGATTGAGTCAGCTACTAGACAACATCATAACAGTGCTGCTGAATATACATATAGAAATATTGTAAGTTAATTCGAGTATCTTTCCTAGCTGAAAACCATGATGATGATAAGTGTACGTTTATGCTGCATGATCGGCTAAAGACTAAGCTTCCTTAATCTTGCATAATTTGCGAGCTGATTTATATAATCACGGCAAGATGGCCGAGTTGGTCCAAGGCGTCAGGTTAAGGTCCACCTTAATACCCAGCTTCATAGCTTCCTGATCATCGTAAGATGGCGTGGGTTCGAATCCCACTCTTGTCATTTCTTTTTTGCCTTCACCCACTATTATCCCTGCCACCATTTGGTAACTGTCACCAATTAAATGTTCAGTTATTTTTATTTTATTTTATATTATTTTTGTTTCCTCACTGCAGGAAGCCATTATTCTTTTCCTTCTGATCCTTTTGTCCGTCTCTCCTCATATCTCCAACCTCTAGGAAAAATCCTTCACTTTCCTATAGATAATCGCTACACTACAAGCCCTTCATTCTACTTCCCCCGCCCCAGAAACAAATAATAACCTTTCCACTCATTCTCAGCGACATACAACGACCCCAACCTTAGCAACTACAACAACAGATGAAGTATGCCAAACGAAGGCGCCAGCAATTCTCATCCAAGAAGACATCCAGCGTTCAAGATACTAGTATATATTGCAACATCTGATCAACCTAGCACCCCGAGAACAATACTACTACTACTACTACTACTACTACTACTACTACTACTACTATTGACTTATGATACTGGCCATCCCACCCCAACATCATCAAAACATCACCCTTCCCATCTAAACCTCTTCTAACATCCCTCTCAACACACCAACCACTCCGTAACCCTAACCGCCCACCCTTGATAATTCTCCCTCACCTCCCTCTTCCTCCTCCACGCCGTCGGCGGCACCTCACCATACATGGGCTACAGGTGTTACACTAATGGGATAGTCTCACGTTGCCTCATGAAGGAAAGAGAGCTATTTATTTTTCACCTCATGCGTTAGTGGTGTAACGGTAACATTCAACCCTTCCATGATCTCCTGCGATAGCAAAGATCGAAAGGTTGGGCCCTGGGTTCGACTCCCAGCTAACGCATTTTAAAGCATATCTTTTTGCATTCTGCTCCTGATGTCTATTAATATTCTAATCCTATTCTTTTGTGTTGAGACTCCGTGTTTGTTATCTCGCCAATAATACATAAGTCAATTCTGATGGCGTGTGGTGAAACTCCGTGTTCTTATCTCGCTAATGATACGTGACTGAACTTTGACGGCGAGTGGCTCGCCCCGATCAAGTGTAGTCGCTGCTCTCCTACAATACCATTTCATCATCTTCCGCAAGGTCAAGAGCCTCCAAGTCATCCTCCTTCTCTAGAAACTTGTCCATTTCAACGGCTTCGTTTCGTAATGTTCCTGTCAGAACAGCAAAATTGGGATACAGGCTGCTGAGTCCGTTGCGACCCCTAGGCCCCCAAATCTCCCTTTCGAAATCTATGAACAGTGCATCTGTCTCAGGCGGAAGCCTTACCCCAAGCTTTTTGGCCGTGACTTGAACAGTCCGTAATGTGCCCCGTGCAAGAGGCCAGCGTCGAGAGGCTACTTTTGCCGCCACACAAAGATTGATAAACGCTCCTTGGTTCGCTGGCACGTCAAGTTGTCCCAAGAGAGTGAACATGGCCACGGCAATCCAATGAATTTGGCTTGCTGGAAATATATCTATGCCCCAGGTAGACCGGTGTATCTCCATCAACCCGGCGATTTGACGAGCAGCTGAAAGAGACATCTCTTCTGGCCCCAAATGCCGTTCTTGTGTGCCATGGTCTGCTGTTTTGGCGAGCTCCGTAATTGTGATACAGGTATTGTGATAATACATACTGCAATAAAGCGTTAAGTGGAATCAATAATACTGTCAAACATGGATCTCACATACTGTAGACATAATACGTGGGGGAGGATCACACGCCCAGGTTCGATCCTGAGGCATGGCTTGAGGGTCTTTTCCCACACTCCCAGACGTTTACTGACTTTGTTTTCCATATCCTGAACCTCACCAGGCGTCGGAATCGTAAAGCTGTCGAAGAGCAACGTGCACCAATCGTCAACGATTGTTGTTAGCTCAGATAAGCCATTGAAATAGCACATGTAGTGCCCCTGGAGACTATCACCGTCGTGCGGATAAGGGTGCCATAGAGGACCGTCATTGTCATGAAAACTAGGCGGACATGGACGGCTAGGCTTTTCGATCAACGGCGGCTTTTGGTAAGCGAAGGCGGTTGCGCTGGGAGAAGTTAGTTTTACCCCCCACACAATCACTGGTCTGACATACATTGTCATGTTGTACAAACCCCAAAGAGTAAGCTCGGTAACCCGTCGTATATCAGATGCCTCGTTGGAAGAACCAGAGGATACGGTGCGAAGCGTGCGTTGAAGCTCCTTCGCAGCAAAAGCAAGCTGGCCCTGGTATATCCATCCCCGTCTGTCTTTGCCCATAAAGCACGCACTAACTCTAATAATCAGCATTTCGCGAAGTCGTATAGAAGACTAAAGACATATTAAGTCGTACCAAGTTGATAACACTGCCAGCCCTTGTACTGTGGCTAGGGTAGAACGCCCATCTTCTTGTTCGAAACATCTCTTCGCCTCGTTGTAAAAGTGTAATCCTCGCGTAGACGGATCGCTGGGGACTTCGTACGCCTCTGCAAAGTCTGAGTATGCCTGAATGAATGATTACGTCAATAAAATTCCCATAAAAAAGAAGCAGTCTGAGAGAAGTGGTCGGCAGCTTACACAGGCATCAGCCAGAATGGCATTAACCAGGAAAGGCGAGCAAAACTGGGAACTGAGCTGGGCTGTTTTCATGTCGCGTATAAATATGTCTTGGTCGAGGCAGGGAAAGCAAGGATAGCGCCACGTAAAATATAAGGAGACAAGGTGCGAGACAAAGTGATCATCATCGGTTATTCTAGTCCAGGGTATTGCGGGTACACGAAAGACAGGTTGATCGGCGAGTCGCTTGATGTTGAGCACTCTCCGAGGGATTTTGACGACAAAGTCATCTGGCAACCGAACTTCATCTATTGTAGAATCGAGGGCATTGATATCTTTTAGCTTGTCCTCGACAAAGAGTTGAAGTTCTTCCAACGAGGGATTGCTGCGAATCAACTGCAATAGGGAATGCACCCGAGTGACGCCACCATTTCTTAATATCTCCAGTACCTGCACGAACAGATCGCGGTCGCCTTCTAAGCTGTCAATCTTCCGCTTAAGGTTAATTTTGCGGCGGGAGTCCGTGGCCTCGTCGATATTGCATTCGAGATCGTGCTTGACACAGGAGTCGCATGGTGCTGTTCCGCTGCACTGGAAGAGATGCAGGGTTAACTTCGTAAACGGTCAAAGTACAGGCAAAGCATGAGAAAATGTGAGAACAAACCCTCGCCTTCTTGAGGCGGCAATTTGAGCAAGCTGTAGAAACCTTTCTCACCAAAGCTCGTGGCACGGGGTCCTTAACTGGGGCTGCAGGGGCCAAAATCCGTTGTTTTCTCTCCGAGGTCATAGATTAGATGTTTTACTGCGCTTATTTACCGGGAGATCATGGACGTCCTAGAAGCTCCCAACTGTCGAAGAAAAATAGTGAAACATACTGGATAGAGTAAGGTGGGCAGTAATTAAAACTTATAAAAGGACGACAAGAGGGAGTGTGCCTGCCTTGATACTTCATTCAATCCTCGGACGGTGAAGTGACGCTAGTAAATGGAAATGACTTCCAGCCAATCACTCGCAGGCCCACAGCAGTGCGGGAGGAACTGCCAGACCAATGATCGTCCACTTTCGTCTGTCTGTGACATCTTGTTGGTTTAACCCGGTTCCTCACCATTTCCTTTCTCGGGCAGTCCCGTAAAATGCACATCCGCACTGAAAAAGCCGTCCGCCTATCCGCCTATACATGCTGCGGGCGTTGCCTCTTGCGTCACCGCGAGCTATCCAATCTGGGACGGGATGTACGGAGAATACCGCCACTCAGAGCTAGTTTATCGATCGCACAATACTTGCCCGAAGGAGAAACATTCTGGAACTCCACTCGAACCTTTGTAGTCTGAGCTGCTCTTTGCGGGGCTTTCCACCGCTCGGATTTTTGGTTGGTAGATTTATACAGCTAGCTCATCCACCCCTGATTGTCCCTTAATCCGGAATTTCTGTTTGGTGGGTCCTTTCCGATCAGTGGTCTCCGCGGACCGACTCCTGCAGAAACGGCTTGAATCGTAGCGACTAGTAGGGCTCAGGCTCGGTCAGTAGATAAGCGCGATGATATAATTCGGTGTTTTATCGGTAATCGACTTGCCACGACCACCTGACAGTCAAGCTTGCCTCTTGAACTGCGCCCTGTTTTTAATGACATGGTGATCTACTTCCTATTCGATCTACTCTTGTCGTACGTTCCCTCATGCCCGGTCGCATCATTGGTGTGCATTGAATGTTCGACGATCTCGTCGGCACAGGTTTCTAAAGTCTAGACCACAGAGATAATCTAAGGGCTAGCTGTGATTAGTGCAGCCATGTGGAGCTCATATCTTAATCGTTATTCTGTACTGCTACTTTGTACATATGGTGTCTGAACGATGACCGACCGTGCTTGATTTTGCCACGCTTTGTGCAGATCTTTTCTTGCTTTCTTTCTTTCTAATTGAAGGTTCGACCGCCCGGAAAGTGCTCTGATAATCAAGAACGGACATAAACCCCCAGTTTTTGCCCCAGTCTATCGCTTTTGGGGTGTAATACTCTTTTACCATGCTTATTCTGTATTGTATACAAGGTCTACAGATTTTGTCAATGTGAGACCAGAGAAAAGGCGTCTTTGAAGATATGATCGGATGATCGGCCTACTTTCTGAATGGGATATAGGAGGATGTATTCTCCTCGTGACTGAAATTATAATCAACAGCAGCAAATGACGAGAACAAGCACTCATTTGATATCGCACCTCATATGACCTTTTTATAAGCATTATGTGACCTCTCCATTCTTCCTTCAAAATGCAGCTCTCTTCTTCGCTCCTTGCAACTGCCACTTTCCTCCTCACGGCAGCCCCCCAGCTCGCCTCAGCCCTCCGGCAATGCGACAACGGAGACCTAGAAGTTGAGCCCGCTGACGGCACTCTTTGGGTTCACTACGCCCCTGTCCTCGATAGCAATCACCGACTCAACGGCGAGGGCTCCGTGGAGCCATGGATACATTCTCTCTCTCACCACTGGAACGTTTCATATGTCGAAGATAGCTAAGAAGTAAATTCGGACAGATCCGTGTCTGCAACTTCAACAATAAAATTTGAGAACCCGCTAAGTTTGTCGTCATCTGCACCAACCTCGAGGGCGGTAGTCAACAGCAGAGACCTTCGAAGCCTCATAGAGAAGTGCAAGTAGTGATTTGGGATATGGGTTTAGCGTTAGGAACCGTGTACTACAGGCTATCTAGTCAAGAAGTGAGGAATGGTACACACTTCGCAAATTAGCAGATTTTGGAAGTTTATAACCTCGGGTAATTTGTTGGTGCTACCATGGCAGGGGCCAAAAGCTTAGCCGAACTCTCCCGATCCTAACCATACTATAAAGCCTACTTATCCGACCAGAAATCGCAGCCACAAAGTTGGACTCAAAATATTATGAAAAAACAACCCTAAGCATCTGCAATGTCCAAATTGTCATACCCCACAACCGGCTCAGGGGCTCGAACTGCGCAAATAGTGTAATTTCCCAAGATGCGATTACGAAACCCGGCTTCGCAGTACTCGAAGTAATACTAAGTCATTAGCAACCCGTGATATTTTCGAACTATTATTCGGAGAAACTCACCAGCCAGCGTCGTCGATAAGCCTCAACATCCTTTGCCGAAGCTTCAGGGTGCCGACTGCAAAAGTCTGATCGGATATCTTCCCAGTTTGCCAGGAAGTTGTCCCTCCATCCGAGTAAAGTCTTCCCATAATGAGGGCCCGAACTGAGCACGGAAGTCACTTCCAATGATCCTTTGCTGCCGCGATGTAGAGAATCGAAGAGAATATTCGGGGTGGGGAGGTATCCGCCTGGGAAGACGTAGCGGTCGATATATTCGCCCACTCGGGGGTTTGTTTCGTGGAACTGCCACATATCAGATAATCCATCCTCTGTAACAAATTCAAGACGGGGGAATAGCATACTGGTTGTATCTTCGTTACCCCATCAATAACCAACACACCATCCTCCGGCGGCAACAGTTGCGAGATCACTTCAAAGTACTGATCCATATACTCAGCACCGACATGCTCGAACATCCCGATCGAGATAACTCGGTCATAGTATCCACTCTCAGGTCGGGGTGCGTTGCGATAATCGCACAGTAAAACGCGAATTTGGTCCTGCAGGCCTGCTTCGCGGATCCGTTCATCGGCCAGACTCTTCTGTTCCTCAGAAAGAGTTATTCCCGTCGCTTTGCAGCCAGTGAGTCGTGCTGCTTCGATGATCAGATCTCCCCAGCCGCAGCCAATGTCCAGTAAGTGGTGAGTTGATTGAAGCCGCGCCTTTTTGATCATGTAGTGGACTTTTCTTCGCTGGGCGGTTTGCAGGGTTTCTGCTGCATTGCTAGTAAAATGTGCGCAGGAGTAGTTCAAGTCAGGAGATAGAAAGTTCGTGAATAGTCCGTTCGAGGTATCGTAGTGGGAAGCGATGTTGCTGCGCGAATTTTCAATGTTGTTTTTCGGTCGCCACCATTGGGCTAGGCGGACGATGAGGTGGAACGGTGAGCCTCCCGAGTCGAGCGTGGCGCGGTTTTGAATGTACAGCTGGTTGGCTGATGCTTTAGTTTGACATGCTCTGCAATGTTGTTTCTGTGAGTAAGAGACGCTTACGTCGAAGATCTTGGACAAGTTATCACATTCTATCTCTTGGAACATGTAGGATTCTGCAAATCCCTTCGAGGTATTAGTTGCTTATAGCCATTTTCGTTGAAAGGTCATAGAATGCTTACCAGATCGAAATCTAGAAATGCCCTCTTCCAAAAGTTCACATCTTTAACGCAGACAATTGCTTTCTCAGAATCGGCGATCATCGGGTCATCATACAGAACTTCCTCCTCTTCACCAACATGGTCGGTCAATTTCACTGGGGCTGAAATTCGCCGCAAGGTGTCTTGTACCATGCCAAGAGCATAAGATTGGAATGACTGGGTGACAGCGGTTAGCACCATGTTCACGGAGTAGCAGGATTTCTAATAATGTGAAGTTTACCGTTCATCTAGCAGGGGTGAGCACTACTCTTTAATACAGCAGGAGAATCCCTAACATATGGGCAACATAATTATGACACGATTTCTGCATTAGTTTCCTGCTCTAGTCAAACTAGTTCTTCGTAATTCTGCAAGCCAAGGATCATTTATAGTCAGAGTCGGTGATTGAATAATAGAAGCCAATGGCATGTACTGCGCCTAAAATCTCCGTGGATGACAGCGGCTAGTGCTGCAGAAGCATAAGCAGCTCGACGTAAACGAGGGCAGGGACTGGTCCGATTGCCAACACGGGCGAGTTACGGAGTACATTGCCGGCTGGACAATTCGGGCTTAGCGTTTTCGCCCCTATCGGGTCCAAATGAGACGAGGAGATTCGCAGCGTTTCTGTGTTCGCTCATGAGGAGAATGCGTAGCAGCCAGTAGGGACAGTTTGGAGTACCTGAGCGCCCTTAAGTGTAGCCATTCTATATTTTCTAAATCTCGAGTGGCGTGGTGTCGCGATGATCGCAAATCCAGTTCCACAAAGGCGAGCCTCACACGACTTAAAAAGCTTTGGGTATAATGACCTGTTAGAATCCTCTAGGTCGAGCTGCAGATGTCTCCTGTTGTATTTCGATTAGCATAGTTGCAGTGATATATAACTACGTTGATTTCAGTTGGTGTAGCCCATCCAAGAGTTAGGGTTCTCCCAGATTAAGGCCCCCGGGACACATTCGCCATAAGAGTTGTCTTTGAAGAGCTGGGCAGCGTAGTAATTACATTCTGATGAGGAATTGTAGATTAGAGTCCTACTTGAGGTACAAATGCATATCGTTTTGGCAGTCTACTCGATTTGTCGTGGGGTGAGTCTGCAGGTAAGCTGGCCTAAAAGGGTTTAATATCTCTGCAGGAAAAGGCAGGCGAGCAATTACCGATGGGATACGTACCAGGGATGCATGCTGGTAATATATGCGGGAGTTGGAGTGTCCATTAGCTGAAACGCATCAAGCATGCAGGATGGAGGATCTCATCACTTCCACACTATTTAGGTGGGGAGGGGAAACGCTCGGACGCGTCACCGCTTATTTACCTGCATTAAGGCTACCCCCAACTTCCAGACGCTTCGTTTTCATAATCTGCAAAGTCTCCAGCCACAAATCATCATGTCGGTCTTTAACGATTATTCCTTCCACCACTCGCGGCCCATCGAGGCTAGTGAGCTGCCGGAAGGCTATTTCCATATCATCCCTAGTCGCGTATCATCTTCGCCTGTTGACAGCGGCGTCATCGACCAGATAAGAGATGAATGGAGCCGAGCTTTAG